TTTGAACTCACTGAATTGCGAGACAGTCTGGCCAAGCTGTTAAAGTGCAGCTAGGAAGGGAAAGGGCTGCTTCTACCAACCCTCTTAAAGATGCACTGTCTCTCGTCAAAGCACCATAGCGGGCTCTGTATCCGAGTTGCACAAAACAAGAACGGAAAAATCTCTTCCAGAGAGTCTATTTGCAAATTTCGTAGTTGACCGAGAGGTGAAATGGAGACTTATTTATGAAGCTAACAGAGGGGAAAATTAAAAAAACAGAAAAAAAACAAGAAAAAAAAAAACGTAATAAAACTTGAATTACAAATTACCTCCTATTCCCTTATTGGCCATAAATGAACTTTTAACGCATTCAGTGCCAGATAGTCGTCCGTGCTATCGCTGAATGTATACAGTTAGTAACAGTCATTTAGAGCAATCCACCTCCGGTTTGCTAACAGGTGCAGTAGTTTTTGTTAGAAACAACATATGGATTTTTTGTTTTCATTCTTATTTATAAGGTTTTTTTTTTTTCCTTTCTTTTAACAAAATATCTTCTTGAAGTGTTTTGTGCAAAAACTTAGCGATGGGAGACGCCCTTTGTATTTTTGTTATAATCTGAACATTTTCTCAGGATATTTTTGCACTGTTGAAAAAAAAAAAAAGTGCATTTCTAATTTTTCCTTGCCAGGCGTGAGAGAGAATGCATCTTTAACTGAAATTTGTTACCGTAATCCTAACCATTGTACACAGTTCTTCCTTTTTATACTGGAAGATTTATTGTAAGAAGCTCACTCTGGTATTTAATATAAATGTCCAGTTTCAGGTTATCTTCGATTTTTTGATTTTTTTTTGCTTCCCTTGGATGCCAATCTCATTTCAGATGATCTCATATTTTTTTTACCCATTGCAAAGCCAACTCCCAAAGCGCTAATCCCTGCCAGACCGCGGTTGTTAAATTAGGACATACGACATAAGAGTATATAAGAGAGTTTATTATACAGACTTTTAACTGCATATAAGTATGTTTTGAAATGAATGCAAAAATGTTTACCTATGTATTCTGACAAGACATCATTTCCGAACGTCCAATGCATCTCAATGTAAGTAGTAAGCGATTGTAGGAATTTTGTCTGTTCTAAATAATATTTAATGGATATTCTGATATTGAAAAGTTATTACTTTGAACTGATCAAACTGAGAGGACTGTTTCTAAATTCTGGGTTTCTGTGGTTGTAGTTTACCCCTTGCCCCTTCATCCACCAAGAAACGTGTACAAATGATTCCCACCAGGCCGTAATTCCCATATCGCAGTAATACGATTATCCCAGAATTCCGTTTGTTGACGTGATGGCTAATTAGTCTTTTGATTAGCCCTGATGGGAATCCAGTGTGACGTTTTGCAATGCTCTGGGCACATACATCTGACAACCAAAAGTCTTATCTTTTTCTACATAGCTTGTCCAATGCATTGCATTATTTTAACCACTGGGTTCTAGAACGTCTATTACAAAGCTTGCCATTGATAAGCCCTGTTTCAAATTCTAGAACTCTTATTTCCGTTATTGTCGTTGTAACCAGCAATAGCTAAACCAGCTTTTTGGGGGGTTAGATATCAGAAGCCAGCAGATTGATGTGAATCTTAACATTTGCAATGTCACGCACAGAGCAACGCAGGAGGTGGATCAGACAGTAAAATACTGCTCTAGATCAGTGTTTTTTTAGACCAGTCTCTATCTCCAGAAATATTTTACAGATTTTAATTATGTGTTCCAGTGTGGACATTGTCAGACTAGCATTGCCAGAGTCCTTCCTTGGGGTCTGTTGGAAGAATCACTCTTCTAGATTAGGGCTGCCGCTATTCAATCAGAAAGATTGCATGTCATTCAGGAATCAGTTATGTAGATGGGCTATTAAAAATGACAGGAAAGCCTCCTAAAAGAAATCGAACTCTTTACGAACACACAAGCAATGTTCCACAGCTTTCCCAATCAGGAGAACAAGGAGGCCCGATAAGTCTTTCATTTATCAAGTGATCATTGTGGCAGCAGTCTTAATGGTGCCATATTATGGGGTGTACAGGCATATGATGTGAAAACAATGGTTTGGGAAGATAATTCAGGATTATATTTTGATCATAATATTTAAAATTATCTTTTGATAATAATATTTAAAAACAAGAACCAAATGGTTTCAAGCTATGTTTAGACTTGCAAGAAATTTAGTAGAATTAAAGACTCTTCTATATTTGGCAGCTGTATAATTACTTCCTATTTCTCCTACATTGTTGTAACATAAATGGTATCTCGTTGCTGAGATCTGGAGCAATTTATAGCCGTCACCGATAGCAATAAGTGCAGTATATGTTATTCGCCAGGATAATGCAACATCTGTAATATACAGAGTTATATTATATTAACCTCTTACCTGCAATATACAGAGTTATATTATATTAACCTCTTACCTGCAAACAATCTAACTGATATTGCAGTACTATTTAGTATTATTTACATACAGATTGGATCACACAATATAACATTAGGAGAGATGGTAAATTGATGTAAATCATGATCGGTTATGGATGAATATAACCATCTAATGGGAAACACGGGCTGCAGCCGCGACTAACTCAAAGTCAGTCTAATAATTCGATTTCAATCATATGTGTGGCATATTCCTATGCACAGTTTGCAGAATCTTTAATTAGTTGGACTTTCACCAAGAATCCACGGTGAAGGGGAATATTTTTAGACCCAACAACACCGATTACCATGGATTATAAAGGTACACTCTAAGTACCATAACCACTAAATCGTCTTATAATATATTATTACATCTTATAGGAATTGTGTTTGGTGCTTGAATGACATCTTACCTCTCTCCACTCTTAAGTCATTGTTTTCAATATGTTTTAATCCCCTTCCCCCTTCCCAAACTCACAGGACCCCCTGGCACCCACAGCCAGCTCCCTTAGCGGCTGATTTAATAATAAAGAATTTTGGATGGATAGCCACACGTTATGTGCTCACTTTGATCAATGACTGACTCTGAGGGCCTGAATGTAGCAGGATTTAGCCTGAGATCCAAATCACCTTTGATAGCAATGGATCCTGGGCCGAATCCTGCTGTAGCCGAACCCTCAGAGTATGAATCATACAATAATGGAATGGCTGCTGCTTAAAAACTATTATAGAAAAAACAAAGAATGGCTGCACCCATAACCGTTACAATAAGCTGTAATGACGTAAGAAGTCATGTTGATTATTTAATGAATGTAAGGGCTAACCAATTATATCCCCCTTTGTCTTCCTTTGGACCCGCTTGGAAAAGATTGGCACACTGATTTATAAATAGGAGATGATTCTAGTTTTATTGTAATTAACCTACATACATATTAACATTGCATACCGTAGCTTTAATTCCAAATCCCCTCCATTGGGTCTGCCAAGCCACAGGGTAAAGTAGGTGACAGAATACTGCGCACATGGGAAATGGTTTGATACAGTGCTATAGAATCTGATGGCGCTATATAAATGATAAAATAATAATAATAATAAAAAATGATTCTCCGGTGCAGGATCTCCACCAATAGACCAATGCATCACGTTTATTAAAGGTTAAGGATGAAGGGGCCAAGGTTTGATTGGATGCGTCCTATTTGGAATCAAACAACGGATTATTGTGGACCGTTACACAAGCATTTAAACCTGGTCCGATGCCAACTGTTCCTTAAATAGGTTTTAATGTTGTTTCAATGTATTTTAACAACATTTTTACAACCATGCATTTGTTTATTTTTTGGAAACATATTTGGGAAGGCAGACTTCTTTTCTGTTATCAGAGGAATTTATCAATGATGTTATTTACATCTTGTGTCTCAAAGGGGTTTCTTAAATCATTGAGGGAATGCATTTAGCCCAGACAATTAACGTGTATACAATGGCATCTCCCGACTTGATATGATGTGAATGTGAAATACTGTCCAGGAGTAGGCATTTCTGGTACCCTAGCTGCTGTGAACTACCATTCCCATAATGCTAAGCAGATTTACGCTGAGCATCATGGGCACCAGGGTGGGATTAGGTTTACCTGTTTATTGGGCCTATTACAGGGTTAGAGGCATGTGAGCGTGGCTAAATAATATTTTGGTCTAATTCTGCTCTATTCCTTGCCCATGTCGTAGATACTTTGTACTTTTCCTACGAGAAGTAGGTATGGGCGAGGGATTGTCTGCAGACTGAGTATCTTTCTTTTACTCCAAATAGCAGCGTGGGTCCCAGACGTGTCCTGTCCTTTTTACCAGCTGTGGCCATGGGCAAAATTTCTACCATAATAGTTTTCTTCTTCTGTACATATTTTGAGACGTCTATGTAACAATCCACAGTGTACACACGATACCTTGTGGTGCAAATGGGGCATTTCATCTCCCTCTGCTCCTCCAAAGGTGTAACAGTTCTTTTAAACTGATGTCACTGATTTAAAAATCTTCTTACTCTGTCTTAGTGTGAATTGATTTATTACAAATCACAGACGTGTCAACTTTACTGTGTGCTAAAAAAAAAGAAAATGAAATTAATTAATGCAAAAATATTTTAAAACGTCATTTTAATAGGTCCATACTAAAGTGTGATGAAGTATAAGTCAGTTAATTACCTTTTCTGCACCGCTAGGCGGATGGTAGAGGGATTTCAGCAGTAACTCGTGAAAATATGCAGAGATGAGAGGGGAAAACGGGATCCAACCAAAAATTCACCAAACTAAGACTTGTACAAAATTTCAAATTTTAGGACAAAATAGTCGAAATGTAAAAATTCTCAAACTCTGCTGTTTCTCCAAGTTGTTGTTTGTTTATTTTTGTCTAATTTGTAATTTCTTGATCAATTCTCCATCATTTCCAGTTTACCGAGTATCCTTTGGATTTGGAGATTAGATGTGTTCTCCCATTTTTAATGATTTTTTATATATTTGATAAGAAAAAAGAAAGTCAAGTGGAGAAATGTTGTCATTTGTACTGGAAAAAAAAACTTGATATGGAAGTATCAGTTCTACCCCATACAATGCTTAAATATTGTGGCTAAAGGTGTATGGAATCCAACTTGTCCAAATTAGGGACATGAATGTGTGAGTTGCCCTCCACCCTTTGCTGCTCTAACGGTCTCCGCTACCCAGATACGTCTTTTCATTATACGTTGTGCCATTGTAGCGGGATTTGGAAGAATTCGTAACAGCTGATGGCCATTTATGCGTTCATCAATGTCAGCATTTGATATTATCCCAAAAGTATTAGATGTGTTGGGCTCTCTGCAGGTCAGTTAATTATTTCCTCTCCAAACTTCACAAAGTATTTGTACTTGAACTTCTTCAATCCGAAACAAAAACTGCTAATGCAGTATCGTTTACAGTGACATTGCATGGTGTATCCTGGTACTGATCCGAGATCCAAACAGGAACTACAGTCCAGAACCTTATAACCCCTCCACCGTTCTATATAGTTGGCACTATGTAGTCCAGTTGGTTGTGTTCTCCTGGCACCCAGTAAGTGAAGAGCCAATCATGGCATTGCCGGATGGTGAAACACGATTTATCACTAAAGAGAACATGTTCCCATTGTTCTGGAGTCCCAGTTGAGTTCGTTTTTACAAATGTTATTGAGCAGCATTTGCAGTGGACCACTGAGATCCTTAGAAGCACTACTGGCAATGATCAACCATCAGTGTGGACCTTCACCATCGATCAGTTGGAATTTGGAATGTATCTTCTACTGAAGGAGAGACAGGCAACCGGACAGGAAGTACTGGCAAACAGACAAAGCATCTGAACTACTTACAGCTAAACCAAGAGAATTACTATTAATATTATGATATTTATAGAGCATCATCAAATTCCGCAGCGCTTTACAATGGGTGGACGAACAGACATGTAGTTGTAACCAGACAAGTTGGACACACAGGAACAGAGAGGTTGAGGGCCCTGCTCAATGAGCTTACATGCTAGAGGGAGTGGGGTAAAATGTCACAAAAAGGTAAGGATAGTATTAGACTAGTGACAGTTGCAGAAGAGGAATCAGTCAGGAGCTATTAACAGTTTAATTGATACGCTTTTATGAAGAAGTGGGTTTTTAACAATTTTTTTTGAAGGAGTGGAGACTGGGTGAGCATCTAACGGAGGAGGGAAGCGAGTTCCACAGGAACGGTGCAGCCCTCGAGAAATCTTGAAGGCGAGCATCAGAGGTGGGAGTACGGACAGAAGATAGACGTAAACATGCGCTCAAAGACTAAACATACTGGTTTAGTAAGTTAAAAGACTCTGCAGAAATGACAATGTACCAGTATACAATTATAGATATTATATTACTACCCATTACTATTTGACAATTTGCTAGGTACCAAAACCAAACCAGGTCAGGTTAATTGTTTAACATCTGGAGTTACTCAATTTCCGTTTTTGTAACATTCTGGGCACCACAACCACTTCATCACATTCAAGTCTTGAAAACAAGAGAAATCTCAATGTATCCATTCTGGTAAAATATTTTATGAATAAATAAGTGGGTTATGGTACCTGGACTCTCCTGGCGCTGTTCATGAATCAATATTAAACTATTTCCAAACAGTATGATGCTTCCTGCCCCAAGCTGGAGGTATAGCTAATGTGGAATTACTAGCAATAGCAGTTCTTACCAGCGTTGGGCAGTGCAGCTGAGAGTGCGGTTATCACTGTAGTGCAATGCTGTGAAGGCAGAAGTAGTAGTGTGGGGTCAGGCTGCAAGAACCAGGGGAACCTCATTCAGTATCACTCAACAGTGGCACCAGGGTTCTCCAGGCATCATAACCACAATCTATTTACCAATACAATTTAAAGGAACACTCGGGGCACCATAACAAATTCATCAGAATTAAGTTGAGTTGTGAGGAGGTCCCTGGCACTGGTTTGCAAATGGTGGAACTCCAAAGTCTTCTCTCTAGCACTGTTTAGCTCTGCCCCTGTTTTTCTGTTCTTTCAAATTCTTTAAACAGATATAACTAGAAGCCTTCTGTCTCTCAGCCTTTTTATTTCAGTGTCTTCTTACCGGACTCATTCTGCATACCTCTATCTCCAACTTTCTGTCTCTTCCCCTCTTTTGTTTCAATCCTCTGTCCCACTGTCTTTCCACCAGTCTGTGTGTGCTGAATGTTGTGAGCTTTTTGCGTGTGTTTGTGGTTGTGTGTATTTGTGGAAAGCTGTATGTGTTGTACCTTTGGGCAGGAGGGAATTAAAATCTCTGGTGGGATAGCAGATATAAAGAGTAGGGTCCCAGATGGGGAGGTGGGTTGATACTGTGGTCTTAGGGTCTCCTGGTCTTGTAGCAGGGCTCTGAGTCACAGGTAATGCGAGGGGCACTCACTGTAATCTGTATATAACACGTTAGTTCATTCAGTGAGGGGAAGCTCAGAAATAATTTTTTGATTTTGACCTGTCCAGGTAGGGTTCCCTCCTTGACAAAGAGAACTCCATGTCTAGTTACACGTTCAACTGCTGTGACCCTGTTAGTTCTTCCAATGTTCCCAGGTATGTGAGTAAAAAACAGTGGTGCATGGTCTGCATTTATTCTTAGAATTCAATGTAAAGCTCTAGTTAACTCAAATGTGCCCCAGTCCATGGAGGTAATGACAAAGACAAAATGCCTATAAAGTGCTTGCTGGGTTGAAATAAGTCCATGCCTTTGGTCCCCACTGTGATGTGTACCCATGGAGTTTTAGGGTATTTAATGAATATTTTGGATTTATACTTCATTTTTGTACTTTATTGTTTTTGCTAGGTCTAAAATTCTTAAACTAGTATATGCTTGTAAATTACTTAAAGGAACAAACACAAATTACATTTTTTAATAAAACTATCTAGCAAGTATATGCCCAGTGAAAACATGCATGCATTTAATGATAAATAGTTTTCATTGTGGGTATAACAAACAATTTGCAGAAGCTGCAGATTTTTAAAAGCCCTCCCCTTCTAATCCTACCCAGACTTTGTGTCTGTCCAATCACAGGCTTCCCAATGAGAAGTCTTTGCAAGGCAGGTGCTCTGGGCCAAGGGCAGGTCTATAATTGGGCGTTTAGGCCTACCATGCCACAATTGCCCTGACACACTTACCTCCACTCACCCTGTCACACTCCCTCATCAAACCATGTCATACTCCCTCATTCTCTCTCACAACCCCCCTGTCCATTTACCCCCTTTGCCGTGTCACACTCTCCCTGCCACTGTTACCCCTTTACTCACCTTGTCACAGTCACCAGCTGAAGACATTCATCATACACACACAGTCAGGAAACATAGCTTTGCCATAAACACAATGCACAAAGGCCACAGGCAGACCCCTATACACACAACACACTTCAAACAGATACCCCTTACACATACGGTCCAGACAAAAACGCTAACATGCTCAAAGAGACATACATTCACACACACAAGGATACTCTCTGTTGGACACACACTCAGGCACATACACAGGTAAACTGTGCATCAATGTGTATATGTGAGTGTGTGCATGTATTGAAACTATTTTTTTCACTTTGGTGTTAGTGGGGCCTCATGTTTGAGTTTCGTCTAACGCCTCATAAAGTCTAGAGCCGCCTCTGCTCTGGGCAATTGCTGCCTCTTGAGTTTAGCTTCAATGAACTTACCAAACCAGGACACAACAGGACTGGCTGTCTGATAGCCAGAGGGTATAACTAGGTTAATTTATAAAAAAATAAAAAAAAAAAGCCAGTTTTTATTGAAATCTTATTGTGAAAGAGAAAAACAAAACACCAGACATGAAGCACTTGAGCAAGTTAAAGTGCATCAGGTGTATGTAGTGTCCCTTTAAAAGACCATACACAGGAGAAATCTCTTCCTCGTCTTCCAATTAATGCACACAGCTCACTTCAAACACTGAAAATGATCTGTATATAAACGCAGAGCAGTAATACTGCGGCTTCTGTCATTTTATAACGCACATCCATTCATCCCATGTGGTACTCAGGACATGAATAACGTACTCCTTAAACTCCATATGGACAGTGTTATGGGACAAGATCAGGCCCCATTGACCACAATGAGAAGCTCCTGGTTGGTGGACCTGCCTGATGTTGCAGTCAGTTTCTTCAAGCCATGCAGGTCCAGGATCTCAGAAGGTATTTTTACCAACACTATAAGGCATTCCGATAATAGGAGGTCTTTTTTAACCATTGCTTTAATGGCTGTAAGAAGATGCTTGAGCAGGACAATTATCATAATATTGTGTAATAAAAGACGGCAATAGCAAGAGAACAGTATGTTTGATATATTAACATTTCACATTGGGGTCTGAGATTCAACAAGCAATATGTGAACCTGGCACCTAGCAGGACTCACATTGGGAATCAGAATTACTTTCTGTTTATTCATTTCTTTAAAGGCACAATTCTGATGTATTAAAAATACTTTACTCCAGCCTAAAAGGCCCATTTAATGTTACCCTCCCAGTGCCAAATCCATTATCCAATTGTGGACAGGATCCCTAAGATTCCAGGATTAATTCATGTGCTGGGATAAGAAAGGCTCGGCCCAACTTCAGCCTTTTCCCTCACACCCGTAGTATTCTAAACCAGGCAAGCAATGCTTTAATCAGAATGGCTCTGTGAGGCTGTGGCTCAGAACCTTTGTATGCCAGAGGTCCAAGAAATAACTGCCCAATGACCTCTTTGCCAGCCCTATCTTAAGGTTAGATGTCTTTACACCACACCTGAGAGGTTGCAAACCATGAACCTGGTGTTACCAGTGTGACATTCAAATTTATAGACTGTCTTTGCATTTGGATCTTGTATCGCTGCAGCTCACTTTAAATGAATCTTTTAGTGTGGATTTAGTTATAGATCTAGCGTCCAAGATCAAGTCTTCAGGACTGTCATTTACACCGTTGACTTAAACAGAGCCTCTGACACAATCTCCCTGCACAGTCATTGGGCCATTGCTCCTAGTACCGAGATGCAAAGTCCTCAACCAATGGCTTCCAAAATTCTGTAGTAGGGATCCCCTATAAGCACTATGAAAATTTACCATCAGTGCCAAGAATAGAATTGAGGTACCATAATTAGCCCCCTGTGAGCACAATCCCAGTGGTATGAATGGCAGAGGAAGTGGGCTTTAATAGCAACATGCCAAGAATGATCGCAAGGTATGAAATCTGTATCCAACTAAACAAATGTGTAGAATTTCCATGAAGGGTAGATACCTGTGCAAGGTAATAAAGAATAAAAACAAACAAAAATGAGATGATTCTGATGGCTGGCGCGTGTGTGTAATATAATATTATATATATTGTTCTATCTGAACTCGACTGATTAGATTGTGACAATAGAAAATTGCTTGATTCTTCCATTGTATTTGCTACAGACACTACGCAGTAGATGCATAAATACTACCTTATGCCCAGGACGCTAACTTTAACACTATATAAATGCATTTAGCCTTAGCAGATTAGGATTAACCCATAACGTGACTCTAGGCGGCCACATGGGACCCAGGGAGCTACAGGGGCCACAGAACCATAACTTTGCTTGGCCCCATTAACCATACCAAAGATCCCAATCTGGGAACCTGTCGAGGGCTCCGTGGGACCATAATCCTTCTCCGAGCATTAGTTAAATGAAATAACAAAATAAAATATACCACTGTTTTATAAAGCATAGTGCAGAACCATTGCTAGCCTTCAAAATAACAGACAGAAATCTATGTGGTTCAAATAAATACACTTTATTAAAGAAAAACAGCTGAATAATCTTAAGCACCAAAACTTTGTATGCGTTTACATAGCTTTAGTAGGAAAAAAAAGGAATTTAATGAAAAGGGCATTGAAACGTATGACACTAATAAAAAATGATATACAAAGCAATCCGATAATTACAAGGTGCACTAATTGAAAAGAGAATTAGACAGAAAGGCAAATGAACAGGGTTTTCGTTTCATAGTATTGCTATACATAGAGGCTTGCGTTAGAAAAAAAATGATACTTTAGCTTAATAAATACTTTCCATTAATTGAGCATTATGTGGTGCTGTATCTTGTCACGTCATCATTTACAATATAATGTGCATTATTAAACATTTCATTTATATCTCATAAAGAGGATCACGTTAGTGTTTTAGGTTCATATCTTATGATATTGCACAAAGTATTAAATGAGTAGTTACTGTCCCCTATCCCATTATCTGCACTCAGAATAAAACTAGTCAGTGCTCTGCCCTCTCAGTGCAAACGTCTCTTGTGCAACACTTAAACACTCATTTCAATTCTTCTGTGACAACACAGGCAGTGCAAGAGGAAGAAACAAACAAGCAGATTGTCTTTACATTGGCGAATTCATGCATCTCTCTTACAATAACACAGGGTTATTCACTAGGACTCAGAACAAATACCAAATAATAGGCTGGAAGAGCTGAATTGGAAACATCGCTGGCTAGAATATACAGTTTAGCTATTCTGGCCTTGCAATAGAAATTCACTTTGAATTCAACAATTCATCCTTTACTGAACCCCGAATTGTCTTACAGTTGTGCAGTGTATGGCAAAATAAAGAAAACCCACACGTCTCTGGATTGCTGTTTTTATTTTAAATTCTTTTTAATGAAGTTATAGAATTTGAATATCACGGCTTTTGTAATTCTAATAGCAAAGTACGACAATATTATCTAAACTCTTCATGTCTGGAGGCTGAAGTATCTACACGTGGATAGACACTGCTGGGAAAATAATAGAAATTTTGAAAACCCTGGTATTTATTTAATTATCATAGAAATACTTGGTTTAAAAAGAAACAAATCCACAATTTTGATCTTTTACCACCTGTCTCTCCAGTATAACGCGATGATAACTAAATGGTTTTATGACCTCTGACACAATGCCTTGAAGCACTGGCAAACAAGCCACCTAGATATGGGAGCTGCTACACGTCCTTCAAATGTCATTGTGACTCATACGTGAACGGTTCAACACGCGACAGATCAAAGAAAGCAGGGGGCTCAGTAACGGCAAACCCCAATACAGCCATGGTTTAAATATCTCATAGCCAAGAAGTTCATTAAAGGTTCCGGAAACATTAGAATTCAACGCATCATGGCAAAAGGTACGAAGTGATGTGCGGCAGGAAATGTTCTTGTGTCACCATGTTTAATTACTAATAACATTTAATAATTTATGTTTTTCCCTTGGATGAACTGCCAAACTGCTTTGTGGTGAAAGTATTTTGCAAATTTCTATGTCAATTCTAACATTTAAATGCTGGGCGATATTAATATCACCCCGTAAGCTACAAACACATAATACAGCAATTGCAAACAGTTTGGGGCTCCATCTTTTGAAGATCCCATGTCGGAGTATTTTGGGAGAGTGATTTAGTGGGGTATCAAAACGCTAGCCATCGAAGCATTAGACTGATTTTCTTTAGTCATACTGTGATCAGATTCCACTATGAATATCTGCTGAATGTGACACTGTGCGTATAACACCTGGAATCCAGGAACACAAAGCAAGAATAAAATGTCTTACTGATGGATAAATGAATATGGCTAGAGTCCCATTATAGAACCTGTATATAAGGAAAAGACAATAAAATGGGAGTAGAAATGACTATTTCATATTAGGAAAGCTGGGGGACTATTCTACAGTTTCATCGATCTATGTTTCTTACACCGAATGTCCACACAGTATAAAAAGCATTTACCGCTATTAAAAGCTACATTACAGTTTCTGTTCATTGGAAGATTATTCAGATTTCAATCTGGTCTTCATTTTAAAAGGTCAGATTAAAAAAACAAAAACTGCTTTTAGATGGGAATATCCTATAAATATCTTGTTCTCGCACAAATTAAGCCAACAAAAAAACAAAACAGCATGGCGTCTTGGGGTTAAAAAATGAATGAAAGAATTGGAGTAATGTTGAGTTTCCTCATTGTTAGAAAGGTTCAGAAAGGTGGATGAGATGTTTGGCTAATAACAGGTAACACCGGGTAACGAGCCAGAAGAGGGAGAAGCACAATGTACACACTAAATGTTAGCCTATTGGCTGGATTACTTTATTGTTAATGCTCTTGAACTTACTCCCACCTAGAACTTTGCCATTTCCTCATCACATCTCGCGGTAACCGCCTCATTGATAATTGGCATTCAGGCCAACCTTGTATCATCTCTCATCATGTGTCTGAACAGCAGCCATTTCACTATCTCTGCTGCATTATTGCTTCATCCAACTAACCCCCAAACCTCCTGGCATGTTTCCCCTCCCCCTTAATCTGCCCCCTCTCATTGCATGTTTGTCAGTCCCTCCACTAGTGCAACTGTATACTCCCCACTCAACACAGGCTCATCTCCTTCCAAGCCCTTTGTAACTTACTGCATTCATAATAAAATCTAAATTAAAGAGACAATCAATAAGAGTTGGTGAGATATTGTGATAACACTGTGTGGCTTTTTAGTGGAGGGGAAAATTTTGCCGGGGAAAATTGAAAAAATTATGTTACGTTAAAACACAAAAGTTATTTCAAAGAAAAAAGACTTGTCTGTAAATGAAGGTAATGACTGGTATTGAAACTGCATGGAATCAAAGATATGATTAGATTTAACTGTAGATAATACATTCAATTATTTTGATAATGTGCTACAGCTCAAGTCAACTTTAAAGGGACACTGTAGTCAATAGAACCACTACAGCGTAATGTAATGGTTCTGGTGTCTGTAGCCTGTCCCTGCAGGCTGAGCACTGTAAACACTACCATTTTAGGGAAAAGACATTGTTTACATTGCTGCCTAGTTACAACTCCAGTGACAGCCTCTCAGACGGCCACTAGAGGTGCTTCCTATCTCAATGGTGCAGTATGTAGCACCCACGTTCAGGGCATGGAGGCACTGAACATTCCCCATAGAGATGCATTGATTCAATGTATTTCTGAGTTGATGCTGATTGGACAGCATGACGTTTTGCCGCACATGCACAATAGCCCACCAATGCGTTCCTGTGATGATTTTAGTCATTGCGACAGAGATGGAGCCAGCCGCAGCAAGGCATGGAAAAAAAGGTGATTAAAAAGTTTCCCACACAATCTAAGGGGAGCTGGTGACAAATAGTTAAACACTATAGGGTTAGGAATATATCTTTGCATTCCCGACACTCTAATGTTGCTTAAAGTCAATTCTTGCTCTTTAAGTCTATGAGAATATTTCATTAGCTTCTTATTCTGAGCACCATTTCAAGATTCTGCTATCACATCAAAAAGGTGCGGTGCTTCGCATTTTTAAAGCACTGAATCATTAGTTAGCTTTCATCATCATTAATTACAGGAAGCCAAATGAAAGGACTTCAAATATGCAAAAAGAGTCATTTGTGTTTCTATATTTATTAACATAATTCTCAAGTCCTTTTTTTTAGGGGGGGGGGGAAGAGGGGGAGGGAGATAAACCCTTGCAACTAGAACAGTGATTTGTTACCCTGGGTCAATATTTGTTTTTTTCCATTGATAAAAAGAGGCAAACTATATAAAATCAGGCCAAAGGCAACGGCGCACTATAAGCCGTTTGTTGTATTAACTTGCCTTTCCTGAGCAGTTGGCACCCGTGTGACACCAGGAACATCCAAGGTGTTTGGGAAAATGCATTTTAACATTACATAACAAGGAGTTCATTTTATAACCGAAGAAGGTGCCAACTACCCTTTGCCAATTTTAAAATCCCTTCACTTGTTCAATGTTTGTGTCTCTAGTCTGTTTGCAACAAAGCGAAAAGCAGCTATATATTTCTTTGCTTATTAGTGATTTATGGTTTGGTTTTTTTGACACTTTGTTTTGTTAGCACGTGGTCTAGAAGATTTATACTGTAGTCATTTTATGTAAAGACAGGGCTGAGTGAGCATCTACACACAGCTACTGTCAGTGCAGATCATAGAGGCAGTAACATTTCCTTAATTATCTATAAAGGGCCTGGGTGTCTGCTATATTTATTAGAACTATGGTAACACAATGTCTTCTAGTGCGAGTGGCCACTGGAAGATCAACAATTCAATTTATATCACTGAACGTCATCATGGGCTATGTTTATTTAAAATAATGTGTGAATATACATTTTTAGATATCTACATTTTACATTCACTGGCTGCAGATCAGAAAAAGATCCACGTACCTGTTAGAAATATATATTTAGAATACCTATGTATTACAGCCTTAATCTAACCTTTAATTTATGTATGCTTATACATAATCTCTCCCTAATGTTCCTGCACTTCATGATTTGATCTTTGAAGACAGGGATTTCAGGAACATTTAGTAACAATCAGACCAGGACCCAGACTTTATAGGGGACATAAGCTTGCAACCCATTCTTCAATTATAATGCAACAAAGGTTTCACAGGGGAAGGCAGTGCTGCGTTATGGAACCATTTATTGAGGGCAATATGCTGAACAAGGATCCATCACCATTACATGTACATGCAGTACTAAATTAATATCTACCTTTAGATAATTACACGCACACAGTCTACACTCATCTTCTTTTTATTGGAGGTTAAAGGGTATTCATAAACAAATTTGGTTTTCCAGTAATTTTCATGCATAAAACAATTCATTGTTCCTCCTGACAAAGAAAGAGTTACAGTCCCCGCAGCAGGCTTCGCAATCTGTCAGCAGACACAGATGTGCAATAGTTGGCAGGATTGCTCCTAGAGTTGCTAATACTGTCACAAGGACGTTACATGATCCCGCACCATCATTAGGACTGCAGAAAGAATAAACTAATTGTCACGGAGAACGACCACTCAAAGCAACCACTTCAAAGGCACATAATAAATGAATGATTTTAGTGGAAAATGTACCTGATCAAGTCTGATGTGAAACCTCAGTGATAAGGCAATAAAACTCTCTATGTGCTACATAGCATTTAACTAATTCAAAGCTCAAGTCTCAGAACACTGTACCAGAGATTCTCAGTCCACAAGGTGAGCCAGTCTCAGTGCGCCCACTATTTTCCGGGCAGAGTGGCTTCAAGGAGGAAGCTTCATATGGTTTAGATGAACTATTCCAAATATTCAAACGGAGTGAAATCCTGAGTTTTTCACCCAATAATAAGAATCCGTTTACCTCCAGTTTTAGTGAATAAGTCTCATAGTGTGTTTGCACGGAGAGAAAGAATAATTGGGTTATGGCAAGAGAGATGTGGTACAGAGGACACAGTTCTTGTATGATTTAGTGTTCCAATAATGGTTCAGGCTGGTGATAGATGCACACACACCCATATCAATTTACCCTTTATCCTCAAATGTGGGGTAAGAAAGCAGGTCTGTCTAGAAGAAGGAATGAAGTACGAATTCCTTATGAGAATAAGTTTTGGTGGTGATGCTACATGAAGTCATCTCAGCACATGCACACTCCAAAATTCTCTCTTATTGCTACAGACCTTACACTACCGTAGTTCCATACAGAATGTAACAGGATATGATTCAGAGTACAATGATACAGATATGAAAAGCGGTTAGGAGGATCTGAATGCCACCTCAATATTTACTTGGAACAATGGCTTTTAACTTGGAATCACAGAAATAGCATTAACGTGAAAAGCAGATACCAAGTTTTTTTTTGCCCAGTTTGGTAGGTAGTTCACGACTTGAATAAAGTCCACTGAGCAGAAATGTATATAAAGGCCTTTATTTTAGGTTACATCAATAACTCAGGAACGTGTCACAGCTCCTATTAATACGCGAAAGGGATTTTCAAATCCTGTTCCTATTTTTTAAAAGTCGTATCAAAATATACCCGTATGTTAACTTGACACACCAGCTACATTTCCAATGTGGGAAACACTTCATACATTTGCTTAGTACTAGATGAAGATTAAACAAGATTTGTTTTTGTTTATACAGATTTTCCATATTGGCAAATCCATCTTCAAGTAGTTGAAGAAATGCAGAAGTTTTGCGCAGAAGGCAGTTGCTGTGGTTTTAATATTGCAGATTCACCTTGGTATGGCAATAGTCACTATGTAATGAATACCACAGTGTCAACTTTAAGTGCCTGAGAGTAAATAGAGATTGATTGATTGAGAACATCTTGGCCTTCTGCATTTACAAACCTAGAATGATTAGTTTCCCTTTCCCAAAATACTGACAAATATTGCCGAAAATCTTTATATCTCAGATTGGGAATGCAGTAGTTTTGCCAAAACAGCACGTATATTTTGATATGGCATTTTTGTTTTCTTACTTTACTACCATTTTAATTCGCACCAGACAGTTCTACGTGTTTTTTTATCATGGTAGGCATTATTAAAAGGCACCAAAAAATCCAAATTGGATTAGTATCATGCAACAAAATTGTGCAAAATATATATATATATTACAAAATGAATAGACTAAGTGACCCCTATACCGAGAATATCCCGGACAGGGGCTGGTCAGTGGGGGTGGTACCAATTCCACCCAGGGCTTAACCCTTATAGTAAAAATATAAATCAGGGAAACCTCATGCGAGAATCCCCGGTTTGGCATTTCATAAAACTAATTTATTGAATGAAATGTCTTCAACAGTAAACAATGTGTGAGAAGATTGCTGCAACATAGCAAAAGATAACCATTTAACCGTCTATTCAATGATATCACAGGCTTTATTCGGCTGACAGTTGAATCGATATGCTAATTAGATATAGTGATTCTAAAAAGCAAGCCAACAGGTGATATATTGTGTCTCTGTATATTCCCTATTAGTATAATACACATCCCTTCAGAATCATTTCAGAATTACAATGTCCAAATAATCTGCAACAATCGTTGAAAAAGGAGAGGGGAGTGCAATTGGGGGAAAAGAAAACAGTATTTCTAATAGGGAGAGATCACCAAATTGTCCATTGGCTGTAATGGCAGTACAGGGGGTTATTGGAGTAGAAAAGTAGGGTAATAATAGTAATATAAGTATACAAAGCGAGATGATATTGGAAGATCTGGAGAGATAGAAGGAGGGAGAAGGTAAGTAACGTTAGACACAGCTTGGGTAAGTATGATGGTAATCAAAGGTAGCAATTGTCTGGAGGTTTAAAAGTGCCTATTTCTAAACATATATGCTGCTCCTTATCCTGAAAAATGTCCACTTATCTATAATCTGGAATATTAAATACAATCGCCAAAATCCCTCAATTACTGCACCTTCAATGGTGCAAAAAACCCAAAATAAGTATAATCTCCTGCACCTACACGGTTCTGTTAGTGGCTGATACTGATATCCTATAGCACCTTCATGGAGGCTAATGGTAAAAGTCCCTGTATAAACGGCTGCAATGGAGTCTTCTATCTCCTAGTATACGTAGGTAAACCCTAACTTAACCCCATGGAGCATCAAGCTTAGTGCATAGTGAATAAAGTGCTAAGTGAAAAAGTAAATAAAAATTAAGTCCCAACACACATTTCGGTGCTCTAATGGCACCTTCGCCAGGGGAGCTCCCCTGTGCTATCATTACAGCACCGAAACGCGCGTCGAGACTTTATTTTTATTAACTTTTCACTTAGCCGATTATTTTTTAATATTCCAGATTATAGATAAGTGGACTTTTTTTCTGGATAAGGAGCAGCATATATGTATAGAAATAGACACTTTTAAGCCTCCAGACAATTGCTACCTTTGATTACTGCCTTACTTACTGTGTCTAACATTACTTACCTTCTCCCTCCTTCTATCTCTCCAGATCTTCCAATATCATCTTGCTTTGTATACTTATATTACTATTATTACCCTACTTTTCTACTCTAATAACCCCCTGTACTAACATTACAGCCAATGGACAATTTAGGTGATCTCTCCCTATTATAATACGTTGGTTTTTTTTTGTTTTGTTTTTCAATTGCACTCCCCTCTCCTTTTTCAATGATTGTTCCAGATTATTTGGACATAGTAATTCTGAAATGATTCTGAAGGGATGTTTATTATACTAATAGGGAATATAGAGAGACACAATATATCACCTGTTGGCTTATAGCATATAGGCATATACATACAACTGTTAGTTTTATGTTTATTTTTGGCAATGGATAAATAAAGCCTGTTATATCATTGAATAGACGGTTAAATGGTTGTCTTTTGCTATATTGCAGCAATCTTCTCACAAATTGTTTACTGTTGAAGACATTTCATTCAACCAATTACTTAGTTTTATGAAATACCAAACCAGGGATTCTCACATGAGGTTTCCCTGATTTATATATATAAATATTAGTTTTACAAGAGGCAAAAATAAATAGGAATTGGAAGTGTGCTAGTTATATCCTGCACAGCAGAGCAAACATCAATTCTACAGTTACAGTACATAAATATAATTTGATTAGATATTTCAAGCCATATATTATATAAAGACGTTACTAGTGAAACCCAGACATTCTTTGGTGTTAAAAGAGGAAAAAAGATATTGTGCGAGTTCATTTACACAGACATCATTTAATTTACGTCAGAGCAAAAAAAAAAAATCTCTCAACTCCTTAAAATCCTCTAATAACATCAACTCACCACTCCTAAATAATATCAAGTCACAGTTCTTTTAACCGGTTTGTTTACCATGGTGACAAAGCAGATAATCAGTTAATGCTCACAGGGCGGAGATTAAAATCAGAGCTATGCAACGTACAGTGCCAGCTTAACCTTTTCTTTTGTCTAGGAAAAAAAAACAAAACAAAAAACAAACGTGATTGCATAGGATAAGAGAAATATGAAAATATAGGACATCATTAAACTATATGATGCACTTAACATACGAAGGCTCCAAACACTGAGAGCCACAGATACTTTGTGACATTTCATTCTAAGCATCAGTTAAACATCTCCCTCAAATGACAGGAAACGCCAAAAGCAAACTGTAAAGATATGTACAATGTAACAATAAGGCTGTATGTCTAACTGCATTGATTTTGGATAGTGATTTGATATGGAAACCATAACCGATTTGTTTTGGTAAGCTTCCAAACTCCCCACGCAAAAGGTCAAGGAAGAGAAATATTAGTAAGAAAATTACCTTGGACGCGGGAGAATACACTAATATACTGCAGAGTTTAAAGATGCCCAAATCGGCACACATATTCCAGCAGCAAAAACAAAGGGTGCCTGATTGACTCAATACCTTCTTGTTCGCAATCCACAGACAGATCACTTGTAGTGTAAAACATAGAATAGGAATATATAACATCACTTTCATGCTCGGACTTTGGAGAAGGTTGGAGCAGTGGAATCAATTCAAACAGCTTTCAAAAGAAATTGGAAAGGAGTTAATCATTTAGAACAGCGTCAAGTCATATTTCCATTAGTCTGGTGGATCAGAGTGCTTTGATTTCCACAATCACACTGAACAAAGAGCACATCAAATCAATTTCATTGAACACGGGAACTCCTGAATGTCATGAGTAAATGTTAGATCAAAAATAATAACAAGCAAGATTTGAAACAGGAGATACCTGGGACAGTGGACCACAGTCTTCGAGACTATACGGAAATACACACAGGAGTGCACCTAATGGCTCACGGTTCAATGGCTAAGCTTTCAGTCAATGTAAAAAAACTCACATACAATCTATTTAGTGGCTTGTTAGTCATAACAAAAGAAAGAAAAATGTAACATGCACATCTTTCTATTAGTGTTGCGCAAAATCCAGAACTCCCATAAAACACAAACTAATAATATACAGAATCTCACCAAAAGCGTGTAAGACTATTGATGGTCGATGGTAAGACATAACATAAAATTCAACGTCTTACAAAAACTGGTGTTCCTTAAATATGGCTCACCCTGTATGCATGTACATATGTACACACAGTCAGAACGACAAAAGACATATTATGTATAAACATATATGGGAGTTCTGGGTTTATACATGTAAATACTACATTAATGTATAAATAATAATAATTACAGTTCCCTTCAGAAAACCTGCAGTTCGTGAAAATTGCATATAATTAAAACAAGAAAAGCCAAAAACACAAAATAAAGTGTATAAATATACAATAAGAAATTGTTAAATGCCAGGCTACTTGCTCCTTATTACATGGCATGGAGTCAGTCACTGCGGACAACAGTGACTGCGAGCAATTACAGCTAGTCTATCAGAGAGTATATAAAAAAGGCCTCACTGGCCTGGGATCGAGCAAATGGATGTTAACCCAGTTGGTTCAGGAAACAAAATGATCCAAGACGACGTGACGATATAATCCCTTTCTTGTTATTATAGCGCATTCTTGGTTTTATCCTCAAAGATGTATTTCACTGCATTCCCTTGAATCCCTGTTTGTGAACAATTCATGATCTACTTGTGTGTGTCATACATTACCAGATCTGGTATGCTGGAAAATGACCCGTGAGTCTGATACAAACTTTCATAGTTTGTTTTTTCTTTCATTTTTGTACAAGCTGAATGGATTGATTCAGTGCATATGGTAACGAATGTGGTCTTTCGTAAACTCCAACTTTAAAAGTAAACTAATTAGTAAAGTTTTTGTAATGTTTAAAAAAATAAAAATAAAAGTCACCCTTCACTGGCCAAGCATGTTACACTGCCCATGTAACAAAAAAAGTGCTTTGGAAGCAGGGAGTTTAAAAAAAAAAATCATTCAACTGATAAAATCCAATGTTAAATTTAGTATTCTCCCTCAGTGATTATATTTCAGACCTTAAAAAAAAAACACAAAATAAAACCAATGCATATTGATGCATTGAATGTGAAGGAGGCTGAGGGACCTCCTTGATTTGTAAGGTTTTCCCTTCATCATGCAGGAAGAAAGCCTTGGTTTCTCTAGAATTCGTCGGCCCCCGTGGTTTGAATGATGCACCTGTTCATAAACACAGGACACAAAGCAACAAAAGAGTTATGTCATATTAATTACTGCACAGTAACATACAGAACATTCTCTATCGGGATATTTTATCCAGTGTCTTTCAGGTATATCGGAATAAAATGGAGACAAAAAGATTTATTGCAGGAAAATGAAAAATACCTACCTGGGACATTTCAGAAACGGGTACAATGCCCATAGACACATGGCACCATAAACACGACACTGAGTGGCTATGGTGTTAGGCGGCAGGTTAACTTTACCGCGGGTGGCAGTGAATGAAAGTAATTATATGGCTGAATATCTTATAAAACCTTCTTCACTACTCACCATACGATCTCAAACTATTACATAGTTTAAGTTTTTTGCAATATGTAGTCCTGAAAATAAGCCTTTTGTGGGGGTGGGTGGGGTATATAGGTTCCTTTCTGCACAACCCCCTTATAATGTTAAAAACATTAAGGTAACTAACAATTACTCACCCAGTTTCCAGCGTTTCAACTCTGCAGTAGCCACCTGCTCCACCTATGAATACGTCAGCATGGCGCCGACTTGTTCCGTGATTAACTCCTGGATTGTAACTAGGTACTCTATCAGCAGCACAGGATGCCAGGACACAGTTTTACTCAAACCTGGTAGAGGTAGCGCATAAAGTGGCTGTCAACCCTGCCATGTAAAGAGCTTCTACAAAATGTTTTCAAATTGCAGGGTTAAAAACAACTGGAACACTGCACCCAGACCACCGCACTGAGATGAAGTAATCTGGGTGAATTTAGAGGACTTTTAATGAGAGTAATACCATGAGGATGTACCTATTTTAATGAAAATAAAAGGCAATAGGGATATTTAAAGTGATATTACCTGCTAGTTCTCCCAGTCAGTGCAAGGCAAACTGTCCTCTTCATCTTCGGACTCAGGCGACGCTTCCTTAATCCGCCTGAGTGCTTCATGTATACTGCGAGTCAATGGGTCAGCATCAGGCAAGAGTGTAAAAGACTCTCGGAGAGCATCCTTCTCCACCTTTTTCAGCTTAACTCCTTTCCTAATTTGTGCCAAAATGTTATTGCTGTCATCCTCATCTGGGGACGGGGCTAAAGTTCTTTGCTCCACCTTTTTCAGATGAAAAGTACCACGTTTCAGGGAAGCTAATACTTCATCCATTGGTGAACTCACTGAAAAAGAGCAAACAAAATATATCATCCCTTACCCATCCCTTGGTTGGAACTCATGCAGCGCTAAGTGACATATTTCTGTCAACACGGCTCAGATCATAATCATCATTAGAACAATCTGTGTGAAAAATATATAGGTAGAAAGTAAAGCGATCACCGTACCTCGCCGTTTCTGCATGTCCTCTAGCGCTCCAGTTTTTTTAAGCTTTTTTCTGGCACTCAGAAGCTGATTGCTGTCAAATAACTGAGATAACGGGACAGTTGCAGACTTTAGGGCGGCAGATTCATCTGTTTCTTTTTTTACATGAATGACTCTTATATCTAGAGGAGCAGTCTCCTCTTTCAGAGGTGGAGGAGGAGGTAGCGGTGGCGCAGGGGGAGGAGAGATCACAGGGAGGGAATGGGGCTGCACAGTATCTATTTCAAGCTTTTCATGGGAAAAAGACGGCAGAGACGTCATCTGAGGCAGTTCAGAGGTAATGAGGTCAGGAGGTAATGAATTATCTTCAAGTTGTATTAAACCCTCCAGCTTTTTGGTCTCTGTAGGCTGGAGAACTTCTGGGCCTTCCACATCAGATACGACTTGAGTCTGAATACTAACAGAGAAGGACTGCGGCTCGTCTAGGCAGGGCGTAATGCGCGCAGAGGTTTTTCTTTTGCTGTGGGTCAAGCGCAGTCTTGTTGATTTAAGTATCACTTGCCCAGGATGGCGCTATACATGGGAGGAAAAAATAGTTACTTGTCTGACAAAGAATTAAAGCTCTTTTTTTCAGAAACAGTGAGCACCAGTCCCCCCTCATTAAGATTCACGGCATGTTTTATTGTATAAAATATCACTCTTGCCACACTGTCTGTTTTCACACTAGTTTTGCTGGGTTACAAACAAAGGATACCGGAGTCGAGAAACAAGGAATATCATTGTCACGGTTAGCTAGCAACATTGCAGATACAGTTCTAGGGTGGCTTAGCATTGTGATTTGTAAAAAGGAAAAACACATACAAAAAAAACAAACAAAACTCTACACAGCAATAAGTCTGCCACTCAAAGATGCCAATCAAGAAGCTGGAACGGTGTTAATTTTGCCCAACTTGCATGTACATCACAGCTCCACTTTAAACACTCCAAACACCAGAATATTATAGCCCAGTGCCCCCTCCAGAGTAAGTAATCAAACCATTTAAGAATTTTAACAAGAATGGTTTGACAACTCACCTAGGCCGCGCCAGAATGCTCTCAGCAAATGCGCGTGGGCCTGTGTGGCTGGGCATATCTCAGTGCAGAAGCTTCCAGTAGCATGGCAAGCAATGGCAGTTGGCTACATATCACTGACGAAGCCTAACAAGACCAAAACAATCATCTTGGGTTGCTGTATCTCTCATTTATAAAGAGCCAGTCTACACTTCAGATCTGGACCACCCTTTGGTGATATCAGTCTCATATGGACCAGGTTCTCTTTAAAATGGCAGAAGATGAGCTAAAACCAGTTCGAGATCTGAGCCGGGACCCATGAAGGGCAGGCTATTTGAGCTCTTGTTCTCAGTACTCTCTTGCACCCCGTTTTTTGCTCTCCCAGTTGCCCAATGGAACCCAGAAAAGTTGTCAAAACATAACCTGTAGAATGCTGAATTTATTTTTATTTAAAGTAAAAACCTATACATAATCAGGCTCGCATAAAAAACAAACAAACAAAACAAAAAAACATTATTAATTAGGCAAAAACCTATAAAATTTATGAAAGTTGTCTAGATGCCAGGAATGTGTTTCGTTTTGTTTTTTGCAAACAAATCCAATATACAGCACATACCTGTTTAAAGGTTCGCAGCCTGTCCAATGTTTTTTGCCGCTCCTCACTAACCCAAATGCTTTTTCGCTCATCTTCATCTTGTTGCTGGTCTTTGCTCTGAAATAAAAGCATTCAGTATATTCCAGTCATTTCTGAGTTTTTGATACACGCATCATTAATATAAAAGAAGAGATATTACAGCCATGCCTAGTGTTAATAAACTCTGCAACCACGGAGGAAATTCACTGAAATTAGGTAAGTCCACAATAAAACACTCCTTGATGTATTTCACATTATTTAGTATTTCTGACACAGCTTACATTTGTTTACACCGAGAAAGAAATGTATACACAGGAACACATTCACTAATCTGTAAGATTTAGCTATCACACTCACTAATTGCACAGCATGTTGGACATATGCTCCGTCACCAGGAAAACGCTGCTGGACTTTCTCATCGTGTTTTGCAATGCAAATTTCCTACAGGGGTTGGGAAAAAAAATGAAACTCTTAGAAAGAAAACCAACACAATATATTATAAACACTTTAAGGGGGTGAATAACAAATAGTTTTTAATCTAAAAGTAATAATATTTTGTACACACAAATCAGAAATACCCAGCAACAGCATTGCAATAATATTTGGGTAATACACACTGTTATTGAAACACTGGCTTCTTTTGATGTTAAACAGTAAATGCAACTGACCATCTGACATGCAACTAACACAACAACGCAGACCTGCGTGTCTCACAAGTTAGCTAAATGTTTAAGGAACTTGCGAGTTCCATGGTTTTACGCTTCACTGACACAGACCTGCGTGTCGTGTACTCCGGTATGATGGGAAAACCTCATGCCAAAATAAATAGATATATACAAAAAAAATATTTGGGTTATACAGAGTTAAACTATTAATTCAGAACGCTCTGTATGTAACTATTTTATACCAGATCCCTGACCTTGTCTTGTCCTGCACCAACTTAGTGTCTTGTTATACCTACTACTCTGATTTCTGGACCCCCAGGGCTCGGCCTGTCCCTGTTTATGTTATGCTCAGCCATTATAAAGCCATTAAATAACTCAAAATACCCCATTTGAAATATCCTGGGATGCCTACTTATAAATACGATATGCCGTCATGGGGGTCATTTTCTTTCCTGAGATGCAACACTACCTCAATGGCGACATAGGCCCAAAAAGTCATTGTCAAATTTCCAAGTTAAAAAAGATCATCAAATATTTTGGGCTCTGTGATTTACTAAAAAAAAAACTGGAAGCCCAGCAGGGGGGGCTGTTATATCCTTGAAAAAATAAAAAATAAAAACACTGAGGCTTTATTGCACCAACTCATACCATGACCATGGCATTCATGTGTATGAGAAAATACACAAAAAAAGCATAACTAGTAAATGGGGCCTGCATTTGTGATAACTCAACTCAAAATACACAAACTGGGTTGCCTACTTTTGAAAATGGTGTGTTATAATGGTGCAAATGTTATTATCCAGGTTGCCATACTGTCTCAAAGGCGACATATGCCCAGAAAATCACTTTGCCAAAGATTAAGACTGAAATAGTCATGTTCTGTGTTTTGCCCTGTAATTTTCCAAACCCCATAAAACCTGTCTTTTGTGAGACTTCACTGAAACAGGAGTGTTTTAGAGCAGTAAAATGTACGATCATCAGTGAAAGTGCACCTTTTGTGCCTAGTAAAAGGACTGGATATTTTGAATACCTAAGGTTGTCTAGTTTTGCAAAAGGAATGCCACAATTGGGGTAATTTTCATTCCTGGGCTGCCATACGGTCTCAAATGCAACATAGGCCCAGCAAACCAATCTGCCAAATTTAAATGTGCAAACACTAAAATAGATAAGCCCTATATTTGACCCCATAAAGCCTGTACTTGTAAGATATTGCTGAACACTAATATGAGTGCTTTATTACAGTACAATCTAACAGTATTAGGTGTTAAAATAAAAACACCATTCAGAAATGGAAAAATTACATTTCTTAATTTCTCGCATTGTTTCGATTAAAGGACCACTATAGTGCCAGGAAAACATACTCGTTTTCCTGGCACTATACTGCACTGAGAGTGCCCCCACCCTCAGGGTCGCCCTCCCGCCCGGCTCTGGGGAGAGGAAAGGGTTAAAACTTACCTTTTCTCCAGCACCGGGTGGGGAGCTCTCTTCTTCCTCTCCTCCCTCTTCTCCTCCCTTTCAGCTGAATGCGCACACGAGGCAGGAGCTGCGCGCGCATTCAGCCGGTCTCATAGGAAAGCATTCAGAATGCTTTCCTATGGACGCTTGCGTGTTCTCACTGTGATTTTCACAGTGAGAATCACGCAAGCGCCTCTAGCGGCTGTCAATGAGACACCCACTAGAGGATTTGGAGGCTGGATTAACCCTAACATAAACATAGCAGTTTCTCTGAAACTGCTATGTTTATTTTAAAAAGGGTTAACCCTAGCTGGACCTGGCACCCAGACCACTTCATTAAGCTGAAGTGGTCTGGGTGCCTAGAGTGGTCCTTTAAATTATGTTCCTGATATGAATATTTGCAATGAAATGAAAGTCCTATGGGTGCATTTAACATGAAAGAGGTAAATTATGGTTGAACAAACGTAGCACAAATTCTAGGTTTTGTTTAGATTCAGAATTTGGACAACTACATCCGTCCTTAAGAGGTTAAGGAACAGTGGGCGCACATGCACCCACTCTCTCTCTCTAAAATAAATCATTTTTAAAAATTACACCTAAACAGCAACTTCTGCCGAAAGTCTCCGGAAGCAGTAAGTATTGCAGTTAGCGTGTTCATCTTCCATGTTAAAATTAGCGTGGGACCCACAATTGGGGTACTGTGATGTAGAAGTGGGCTTAGCACATTAAGGCCATATGTAGCTGAATCCCCATGTTTGCCAAGATAAGGGATTGGAAGTAGCTTTGTAAAATAGAAATCTGTATTTTCTGTGTGTGCACGTTGTTCCTTCATCTGTATTTTGTTGTTGCAGCAGCACCCCTTCTGAGAAATGTATGCTGTTGGTGAGCCCCCAGTACTCCTTTTTTCTAGATTTAGAAATCAGACCCATTATAGAACTGATAATCCTAATATTATGTGTACTAAAAAGCAAAGTAGCTTGATACGAATACTCCCGCCATACAATCCTACTCATTCCTTACAGCAGAAATCACTGCGTTCGTATGACAGCCGACCATTTGTAAATCAGCAATGTAGACAGTAGGTAAGAATTGACGACAAATCTATTTAATTTCTATTCCTGTATATTAAAGAATCTGCAGACACAGATCATATCCAAAAATAAAACGATTTAACAAATGCCATACTACTCACATAAAAGCATTGTCTGTAACTTAAAATAGAACTATAGGAGAAATAACCCTTTCAGTGTTTCATTACATTTTACATCCATGTTGCAGTTTCCTTGCGTTGATGACGGTCATACCTTTTTGTTCCTGAGGTAGGCTTTCTTAGCGGAAATGCGGCCACGCTTTGCTTCCAGCTGGCGCACTTTCAGCTGCCGTTTCCGCAATTCTTCCCTCTGTAAATGAATAGAGGAGGCCATGTCTTCCGTCTCAAGCATTGCCTCCATACTCTCATATGTATCATAATAAACCACTTCATCTGTTTTTTCTGAGAGAAAAAAAAGGTTTGTGAGAACACCAATAACGCCACTTTAGGTGGTGGCCCTGAACCAGATGTTCATAGTCTACATTTCCAGTGCTCACTCTCCACCACATGAAAATAATATCAGAAGCATTAAGGGTTAAAGGCGTCCCTGCCAAGCCACATTCTCTGCAGCAATGGATTGCCGTTGCGGTTACATACATACATTGTGCTAGATAATGTACCTCCCAAGCACACAGACTTGCCATATTCCTCATGCAATGTCTGTCTGAAAAACTCAATGAAGCTCCATAGAAGGTGGGTACAAAATAAATACATTTAAAAAACCCTCTGTTTTTTAGATGAACATTGTTGTCTCCCAATGACCTGATAGAAGGTTATTATTCATTCTCTTTCATTGTGCCCTAGGATGTTAGATACTTTGCGGACATTAAGAGGCCTTTCCCTTTCACTAGTTTAGTTGTACAAGAGTAATTCTATCTTACCAATTCTTTAGTGATATTAAAGACAAAGAAATTGCCAACCTTCTATCACCAGGGGCTGACTTCCTGCAAAAGCAGACTACTCCTCAAACAGACTTAAAATGACACTGTAGGCTCCAAACCTAATAACAATTAGCTTCATCAAGCAGTATTGGTGTATAGATCATGCCCCTGCAGTCTCACTTCTCAATTCTCTGCTATTCAAGAGTCAAATAACTTTGTTTATTCAGCCCTGGTCATCCCCTCCCCGCCACCCATGTGACTCGCACAGCCTTCCTTCCTGTTTACACTTCCTTTATTGTAGTCTTTTTAATTTAGAATTTCTTATATCCTGCTCTGTTGATAATTTTTAAATACTTTTTTCCTCTCCCTTTAACAACCTTCTAGCTGTGTGTGATTAAAGTTTAACTTACAGTGCTGGAGATAAGAAAACGTCTAAAGCGAGTTAACATCTGATTGATAATGAAACAGTTTGTTTTCATGCAGGCTGTGTCAGTCACTGCCAGGGGAGGTGTGGCTAGGGCTGCATAAACGGAAAATAAAGAGATTTAACTCCTAAACTGCAGAGAAGTAAGCAGTGAGACTTCAGTGGCATGATCTATACACAAAAACAGCTTCATCAAGCTAAAGTTGTTTTGATGCCTATCGTAACTCTTTAATAAGGGAAAAACACTTTCAAAAAGCCACTTTGTTTTTCGGAAAATCATTTCACTAACTATTTTTCCAGCACATATTTTTTGCCGGAATGCTTTAATCCATTATATATAGGAGTACCTTAGTGCCAGGAAAACAAACCCGTTTTCCTGGCACTAAAGGGTTATTAGGTCCTCCCCTCCCGCTGGGCCGAAGGGGTTAAAACTCCTACAGCCACTTAGCATAATCCAGTGCTGGGCTCCCTTGTCGCTGGTGACCTCTCCTTCCCTGCCGACGTCAGCTCCCGAGTGGAGCCGAAAGTGCATGTGGGGCCAGTGCCCGCGCATTCAAACCGCCCATAGGAAAGCATTACTCAAGTAGTGACATCCGTGGTGGGGATTATACCACCTACGCCTACATATATTGAGCAATATTCCATTTGCTCTTCACTTGTGAGTATACCTCCATCTTTTATCATTTTATTCTGTATCATCCAGAGAGAACTATTTTGAGTTTCTATCCTCTTTTTTTTTTTTATATCACCAACTATTCGAATCCTGGCCAACTGCTATTGGAAAGGAGAAATACCCTACTACCTCTGGAGACCCCTTTTGAGGACATCCAATGGCCATCGACATATCCATAGATGGGGATTATATCGTCCAGGTGCACATATCTGGAGCAGAGTATAAGCTCCTGAAAATTGTAAGTGCAATTCCTTTCCCTTCATTTATTATCATTATTAAGATCCTAACATACTAATTCCTTCCCTCCTCCATATCGCTCTGAGCGTGGGAATTCCATCACAGGCGCTGCTCCCTGATCCTACTTTTTACACCCATTGTACCACCAGAAAAGAAGAGACTCTGGTTTTTGGGAAGTTTCAGCAGCCACATACTATAATTACAAGTACTGATATTCCACCTACCCCTCTATTACGCAATGCTTTCCTATGGAGATCTGAATTCACGCTGCGTGAGTTCAATGCGATTTTCACATTGAGAATCGCGGAAGCAGCCTCTAGTGGCTGTCAGGGAGACGTCCACTAGAGGTTGGATTAACCCTACAGTGTAAACGTTTATAGTTGCAGGGTTAAAACTAGGGGACCTGGCACCCAGACAGCTTCATTGAGCTGAAGTTGTCTGGGTGCCTATAGTGGTACTTTAAGTCTCCACAATTCTGAATCAAGATGCTGTTAATTAGCTTTCATTATGTAAGAGTAATGCCCCAGGATTATTACCATGCTGTGATCTGATCTGAGTCACACAAAAAGTAATAAACAAATGAATATAGAAAACACAATCTGCCACTAGTGGGAGCTGCCGCACAGCTTGCAAACTGTGTATAGAGCAGGATGTAAACTGTACTTCTTGCTTTATTTGATTAGTGTTCTAAGGCAATGGATACAAATAAAGCAAAAAATAAAAATAAAAATAAATTCACAGCAGTGTTTTGTCTGATTACAACTGAAAGGAGATTCAGGATTTTGTACAATTAAAGTCCACAGGTCCCCAAATCTTATTGTGCAATTGTGGAACACACAATGACATGGATGCTGGCTGATGCTTGGCTCCTGTAAAGCTGCATATTTGCTATCCTATATTGTTACTTTTTCAGACACTTGCAGCAAAGTTACAGAGTTTGCAGCTTGTTCGTGAATGCAGGGCATTCCACCCAACCAAGTTAAAGGTGTACGTGAAGCATCATAACCACATTTTATTAAAATATTTAAAACAATAGAACTGTATTTCTATTATGTAAATGTATTTCTAAACACATTTGATGGTTGGGGGATACAGTACACCAATGCTTACACATTCCGAGAAAAAAGGGAAAGAAAAAAATAAATAAATAAACTGATGAGATCTAACTGGGTCACAGGACAGGTCATTTTTTGTTTTTGTTTATAGATCTCTCGATGCAGAGAAGGCATTTGATAGGGTCTACTGGCATTACAAAGATTTGGTCTTCTTCCTACATTTAACGGCTATTAAAACTTTATATACTAATTCTTCGTATCCCACGCTGAAATGGACCGTTCTCCCTGTTCTCTTTGAATGTCGCACAGCCTTCCTACCTGTTTACACTTCCTTTATTGTAGTCTTTTTAATTTAGAATTTCTTATATCCTGCTCTGTTGATAATTTTTAAATACTTTTTTCCTCTCCCTTTAACAACCTTCTAGCTGTGTGTGATTAAAGTTTAACTTACAGTGCTGGAGATAAGAAAACATCTAAAGCTAGTTAACATCTGATTGATAACGAAACAGTTTGTTTTCATGCAGGCTGTGTCAGTCACTGCCAGGGGAGGTGTGGCTAGGGCTGCATAAACAGAAAATAAAGAGATTGAACTCCTAAACTGCAGAGAAGTAAGCAGTGTTATGCTCTTAAAACGGATTTACCTTTAGGGTACAGCTTATTTTAGTACTATGGTTATCTTTGGTTATTCCTGTATAGATGACATATAACTAAGTCTGGATAAATGTTAGATTACACTGGAATGACGTATTTCATTATGCTGTATTACTATCAAACTGTTATGAAGCAACTTGAAAGCAACAGTGAGGGAAAAAAAGTATTTGATCCCCTGCTGATTTTGAACGTTTGCCCACTGACAAAGAAATGGTCAGTCTATAATTTTAATGGTAGGTGTATTTTTTAACAGTGAGAGACAGAATAACAACAAAAAAATAATCCAGAAAAACGCATGTCAAAAAAGTTATAAATTGATTTGCATGTCAATGAGTGTAATAAGTATTTGACCCCTTCGACTCAGCACTTGGTGGCAAAACTCTTGTTGGCAATCAAAGAGGTCAGACGTTTCTTGTAGTTGGCCACCAGGTTTGTACACATCTCCTCTTTGCAGATCCTCTCCAAGTCATTAAGGTTTCGAGGCGGACATTTGGCAACTCGAGCCTTCAGCTTCCTCCACAGATTTTATATGGGATTAAAGTCTGAAGATTGGCTAGGCCACTCCAGGACCTTAATGTGCTTCTTCTTGAGCCTCTCCTTTGTTGGCTTAGCTGTGTTTTGGGTCATTGTCATGCTGGAATACCCATCCACGACCCATTTTCAATGCTCTGGTTGAGGGAAGGAGGTTCTCACCCAAGATGTGATGGTACATGGCCCCATCCATCATCCCTTTGATGCGGTGCAGTTGTCCTGTCCCCTTAGCAGACGGTCTTGTAGCCCATTCCAGCCTTGTGTAGGTCTACAATCTTGTCCCTGACATCCTTGGACAGCTCTTTGGTCTTGGCCATGGTGGAGAGTTTGGAATTGGATTGATTGATGGCTTCTGTGGACAGGTGTCTTTTATACAGATAACGAACTGAGATTAGGAGCACTCCCTTTAAGAGAGTGCTCCTAATTTCAGCTCGTTACCTGAATAAAAGACACCTGGGAGACAGAAATCTTGCTGATTGATAGGGGATCAAATACTTATTTCACTCATTGACATGCAAATCAATTTATAACTTTTTTGACATGTGTATTTCTGGATTTTTTGTTGTTGTTATTCTGTCTCTCACTGTTAAAATACACCTACCATTAAAATTATAGACTGATCATTTCTATGTCAGTGGACAAACGTTAGAAATCAGTGTATGATGTCAGAATATGTTTGTCCAAATTGTCTAAAAATGATAATAAAAAAATAAATAAAGTGGGTGTGTAGATGGCACGCAGACTGGACCTGATATCTGTCGTCTGATGCTTTCCAGCTGCGCTGTTAGAAGCAGCTCCTCACATTTTAGGATTTCAAACTGCACTTCGTACAGCTGGAGCTGGTGACCATAGTAGTCAGACTCCAGATGGTCCAACACTTGGATGGCTTCCGTTCCCCCCTGTAAGCTCTGCATCTGAAAGCACAAAACCACGACAAGATCACAGCCAGTTTCACAGAGACTCTCCATATATGGTTAACATTGTTCTTTTAATCTGTTTATCTAACGGGACCGAGAGAGGGGGAAAACAGACTCCCCTGGCTTTAAAAGTAAAACAAACAAGTGCTTGTCTGGAACATTAAGAGCATGAAGCCGGCATGATAATATGCAGACCTGGAAATGGTTGCCAGCGGAGAAATGCCCCGGCGCACATTGAAGGGCAGATTGTAACATATTGTATGTCTGAGCTGTGTTATCTTCTGTTGAAGTTGTTCTGCAGACAGACTTACAGCTGAGCACAGAATCTAGTCACATTCCATGGTTTATGTACAGATAATGTAATACCTTTTATATGCGTAGATATTAATGAAGTGAGTTACTAAGATTTAATTGTGCCGAATATCAAAATTAGTAAAATGTAACAGATAATGGCTTTTTGTGATGATGGGGGCCAAACTCACACGCAGGATTCACAATAGCTATCATTAAAATAGTCCCTTTGCATTAAGAATATGTTGAGTGACATGCTAGATGGAGAAACAGTGTTTTCCCCTTCCATTATGGGTCTAAAGCAGGCAACAATGACAATATAACGAAAACAACAAAACTAGGAGGGACTCCCGCCCTGGGTGGTAGTACATTTTCATATTAGTGATAGAATGCAAAGAACTGCAGTATTGTACGATGTTTAAACACTCGAGCTGCTATTCCCTCTGAGCAGTAATCAGTACATTTCATACTGGTGTGGTAGATAAGTTGGTAAATTCCCTGACTACAAAGCCTGTTCAAAAATGCAAGGTCACAGGTTCAAATCCAGGCAGGATCAACTCAGCCCTTCATCCTTCCTAGGTTGATAAAATGAGTAACATTAATTGGGTAACAACAGCATCTATTACTATTCAGCTGCTGATTTGGTTAATTCCTGAGACACTGGGAGAAAGGCGCAATATAAATACTAGCTAGTATTATAGTTATTATAAATGTACAAATACAGAAGGAAAAAAAGGATCTGGGTATTTTCTTGTACCATTTTGGAGTATTTTATCACCTCATCACCCCAATCTATGTCAGCAATGTTTGAGGAAGCCAACAAAGTGCTTTTTCTTCCACGATATTTTCTGCTTGCTGACATAGTGACAGCTCTTTGTAGCTTGGTTGCCAGTAACTCGGTTCTGGTACACACCTGACTATTCTGATCTTTTATTCATAAAGCACATGTATATTTCACAGCAAAAACGCCAAGACTTAAGAGACTGCTTCTAGCAATCGGGTGCAGTTTGGAAATGTATGACAATCTCTAGATCTAGCACATATAAGGACCATCACATATTAAATAGTAAAATATCTGCTTGTTTACCTCTTCCTTCAGTGCGTGTTTCTTTTGCTCTAAACAGATTTCTTTTGCTCGCATTAGCTGCAGCGTTTCTTTAGAGACGCCATACTGAAGCTTCTCCATGCGCTCCACAGCAGACGCCCAGATGCCCTTTCCAAATTTCTTCTGGTCTGTTCGCATCCGATCAAAGACAGCTGCAAAGTATGCAAATAAAAAAAAACATAAATATAAAAACACTGGGGAAGACATATTAAACAAAAGACCTCACTAATGAAATCCATTTAACATTTGTGGTGTGGGCAGTCCAAAGTACCATAATCCCTACAGTTTATTACAATGATTCTTGTGTAGAGAAATGGTCCTTTAAAAATGTAAAAGGAATCCATGTTTAAAATGGAATGAGGCAAAAATGTGATTCTTTGTTAAGCTAATTTGCATATGTCCACCCAGAATCCTTTGCGGTAGTAACATCACTACAAATTTGTGATGTCTGTGGGAAAAGCAAGTCTTATGGCTTGACTGGTGTGCAGATTTTTGTTTAACATTGTAATATATATATATATATATATATATATATATATATATATATATATATATATATATATATATATATATACAGCATCCATTATACACACTATATATATATATACACACACACACACACACACACACACACACACACACACACACACACAGTCACACTCATTTACTAAAAAGCAATTTCAAGTCTCACAGAATGTAGCAGTTTTATTCAAAAACACCTCACCTAGGCAAATAATAATGGAGGTTTAGTTACAGTATATGCTGAGAGAGGGAGGACAGAGAGATCTTTTCATTCATATTATACCCAGTTTCTAATAAAATAAAGAATGAGCACCAATGGTATGTACACATAGGCAACATGAAAATGACCTTTTTGTGCCTTAGCAGTTATTTCAAAGTATTTAACGGTTAGATCTTGAATAGAGAGCACAGCCATGTGAGCTTTTCTCTGCCAATCAGCATCTTCCTTTCTAAGGCTCTCGATGCGTCTGGGACCCAAGTAGTCGTTTTCTATGGAGATCTGAAAATAGAGACAAAAAGTCAAAATATGGCTATGCGATTTTTAATTTTCCAAAAGTAAATAAAACAAATGAAAACCTTTTAAGTAATAAACCTCACTAGGTTAAACTGTGACCGTTACAAAGTTGCAGATGTACCATTTTCTCTATAGTATATTCTTTAAAATTACACCATGCTAATGAACGCAGCACGATCGTGGGTTTAAACAGACTCCTGCAGATAAATGGATATGACAGTATTGACTGACAACTGCGCCAGTGTGTGTTTTAAGACTACACAATATGAAGTTTGGGGATTTGTCAGCAAAGGGTTTACACAGTCTGTTCCCAGAATTCCAGACATATCCATAAGAGGTGGTGGGATGAGACAGTAGTTAATTTAAATGTACTACTATAGAAACATAGGCCATGTCAAACTAACTTAATAGCATTCAATGAAGAAGTAAGTACAAGTACAGATCACGGTGTGCAGTGGATGTGATCTACTTGAAGTTTGCCAAGGCGTTCGATACGGTTCCTCACAATACTAGTGTTCAAACTAAAAGAAATTGGTCTAGAGCAGGGGTAGGCAACCTTCGGCACTCCAGATATTGTGGACTACATCTCCCATAATGCTGTTACAGCCATAATACTGGCAAAGCATCAAAACTGGGGTGCCGAAGATTGCCTACCCCTGTTCTAGAGGAAGAGAGTTATGTTATCACTAAACGAACACTATAGGGTCAGGAATACAAATGAGTCTTCCTGATCCTATAGTGTGAAAACCCGTTAGTTGGCCTGCCCCTCCATACTCCTCTTAAAAAGGGTTAAAACTTACCCTTATTCCAGCGCTGTGCGGGTCTGCTGATGCTGGCTCTGCCCCCTTGGCTGAGATCATCAGAATTGACAATCGCAGCCAATCCAATGCCTTCCCACAGGAAAGCATTATATGGGAAAGCATTGTGAGGCTAATGCCGCGCTGTACCAATCTGCATCTCCTCACAGAGCTGCATTGACTCTGTGCATCTCTATGAAGAGCATTCAGTGTCTCCATGCAGAGATTGGAGATGCTGAACGTCAGTGCTGCACAGCACTAACCAATGAAGCACCTCTAGTAGCGGTCTGAGTGATTGCCACTAAAGGTGTCCCTCTAGTGCCTACATTAAAAAGCCTGCAGTGACAGGCAGTAGACACCAGAACAACTACATTAAGCTGCAGTTCTGGAGACTATAGTGTTCCTTTAATGGTAACGCTGACTAAAGTGGCAATTGATGTCGCTCAGGATTTTGTTCTGGGACCACTTCTAATCAATATATTTATAAGTGTGCTTGAAATAGACATTGAAAGTCATGTATCAGTATTTGCAGATGACACAAAACTCTGTAAAGTAATACAATGTGAGCAGGATATTACATTGCTGCAGAGGGATTTAAATAAAAAATCCCTTAGGCCTCAATCCACAAACCCAGAAACATGCAATACTGACTCTTTGTTTTAATCTCCCGGCAACCTTTAGGTATTGACTGAAGCTTTGAAGATACTGCATCTCATCTATTCTACCTTTGTCACTGTAATATTATTTGTTACCATAACAATGTCACCATTTTACCTGTAGTTTGCCACTAACTTCATGTTATTTAGTTATTAATATTTGGGGTGACAGAATTTGTTTGGTAAACTTTTTCGTTGTGTACACCATATGTCTGTTCTACACATCCCCTCTCTGTCCCCTTCCTTTGCCCCTCCAAGCTGTAAATACCTTCATATAACTGTGTCTCATCTCCATCTCTGATCCTTAGGCCTCACTCCACAGACCCAGAAACATGCAATACTGACTCTCTTCATTTGCTCTAAGCACTTTAAATAGATTGGATGAGATTTGATGTAGTACCATGCATAGTAATGCGCATTCATTACACCAAGGTGCAAGTAACTTACATCATAAACAGCAGTGAATTCGGGATAACACACGAGAAGGATTTGAAAATTGGTAATAGACAACAAACTAAGCAACAATGTGCCATTTCAATTAGCAGTTGCTGAGGCCAGTAAGGTATTGTCATGTATACAAATATAAAATATAGATGTATATACCACAAACCATTATCTAGAAATTCATAAACAGGACTAGGACATAAGGTCATGCATTTAGACTGGAATAAAAGAGATTTAGTCTAAGGCAAAGGAAAGGACTTTTTTTTTTTTTTTTTTTTTTAATTAAGAACTATAAGGATGGGGAATGCTGTGCCTGAATAAGTGGTTTTATCAGAGTCTGTACAGATTTTAAAACAGCAACTTGATGAATACTTGCAAAAACAACATTCAGGGATATAAATTTTAATTTCTGGGGTAATAACTTCTTGATCCAAGGATAAATCTAACTGCCATTTTGGGAACAGGAAGGATTTTTTTCCTAGTTTGTTGCAAAATTGGAAAGTGCTTCAAACTGTTTTTTTTTCCTTTCTCTCTTTTGGATCAACAGCAAAAAGAGATGTGAGAAAAGCTGATCTTTTGATGGCTTATGTAACTAAGTAATATAATTGATATAATTATGCAATATAACTAATAAAATTCTACTGGGCAGGTAGAAACTAAAATTATAAAAATGTTCTAAGGTCCATATCATACTGCCCAGAGACAACCCACATTTTTAAGGGAGCTGTATACTTTAAGAATTAAAAGTAAGTAAAAACAAAAAGTCAAAGACGATTAAAACAGCTTTAAAATTTGTAATAGATTTTCTAAACAAAAAGAACATGACATGTAAATTAATTTAACTGCTGCAATCCCTTAGGTACACATACATCCCTATGGAAGGAATAAATACGTTTGTGGTGCCCCGATCCGCCTCCTTGGCTGACACCATCAGAGCTGATCATCTCAGCCTATCCCAATGCTTTCCCATAGGAAAGCATTCGATTGGCTAAAATCGCCAATTTGTAAGATCGTCCGGGGTCAATCAGTATCTCCTCAGCCCTAGCTAATCAGAATCACCTCATAGAGATGCATTGAATCAATGCATCTCTATGGGGGAAAGTTCAGCATCTCTATGCAGAGCGCTGAGACACTGAATGTCAGTGCTACACACTGTGCAACACTGACCCAGTAATCTTAGTTATATATTGGGGGACCTGCCTGACAACCCCAGTAGAAAGTGCAGAGATTTTAATTTGCAAACCATATATTTGACCCTGTAACTTTCCAAAACCCTCATAAAAACTGGGGTTCAAAATAATATATAACAACTGTGGGTGCACTTAATAGGAAAGAGGTCAATTATGGCTGAACGGACATGCAGCTCAAATTCCAGGTTTTGTTTTGGTCAGAACTTGTACAATTGTCTTCGTCCTTAAGGGGTAAAGGCAATTATCTGCATTTTGTATTTACAATGATGAACATGTTATTTTATGGTCACAGTTGCCCTTTAAACAGGATTCCAATTGGTTTTTCGGATGCTAAGGGTTGACCACGAGCTATTGTTTACAAGCATCTGGCACAGGAAGGCATAGCACCTGGAAATCACAATCCGTGTTATTCAAATATTTAGTGGTGCAACGTGCAAAGGTGCACAAAGTGACAGGATAGACCTCCCGCTGGTTCTTCGTTAAGATGTCACAAGGTTACAGACATAGTCCTTACTGTAAAAAGGAGTCTACACAATGTACATTAGATGCCATATTTGTATATAAGAAAGAAAAGAGAGAAAAAAAGTCTCATTTGCAAATGTATGAGATCTATAACCAGATTTGCATAGAATAACGAACATCTCTGGTTTTGAATAAACTACTTTGTGTGCCTATCATGTGCTTTTATACTGACTTTAAAACACGTGGGTTTACAAATGGGGTTACAGCTGCAAAGATTGAGTGTGATTAGAATTCAAGCTTAACAAAGCAAACTGCCTAGGCAAGTACAGAATAAAAATAGGGTGTTCTAGTGCATTACATTTTACATGTAAAACAATCCCCTTATATATAACGAGAAATGTACGGCTAGCTTTTTCCTTCTGTGGGCTCTTTGTACAGCCCTGCGTTTTATGCTGACCAGTGTAACTCTGATCCACGCTAATGTACATCAAGCAATCCATCTAATATGCAAATCACCGACGACACAAATACCTTATATTGTGAGTTCCAAAAATCAAGACAATTGTTTAACTTCTGAACCAAAACCAAACCTGTGCGATCGTTCCACAGTAATTTAAAGCAACCCTGTCACTTCTACTTCGTCTTAGAGTGTTACTCCACTCACCGGGACTACTACTGCTGTTAGAAGTGGTCATTGAGCAAGGAATCTGTATGGGAAGCATCTCTGCTTGAAATTCTGCACATACAGAGATCTGTTCTTTTGTGCTGGGGCTAGTTTCACTTCCAGCACATATGAGTAAGACAGCCAGGGACTCACCCCCAGTCTTTCTCCTTACTGACTGACCTCTTCTCCTCTCTCCTTCCATGTAATGACTGACTTATCTTCTCCTCACTCCTACCATGTAATGACTGACCTCTCTTCTCCTCTTACTCCTTCCATGTAATGACTGACCTCTCTTCTCCTCTTACTCCTTCCATGTAATGACTGACCTCTCTTCTCCTCTCTCCTTCCATGTAATGACTGGCTTCTCTTCTCCTCCCTCCTTCCATGTAATGACTGGCCTATCTTCTCCTCCCTCCTTCCATGTAATGACTGGCCTCTCTTCTCCTCCCTCCTTCCATGTAATGACTGGCCTCTCTTCTCCTCCCTCCTTCCATGTAATGACTGGCCTCTCTTCTCCTCCCTCCTTGCATGTAATGACTGGCCTCTCTTCTCCTCCCTCCTTCCATGTAATGACTGGCCTCTCTGTTCCTCCCTCCTTCCATGTAATGACTGGCCTCTCTGTTCCTCCCTCCTTCCATGTAATGACTGGCATATCTTCTTCTCACTCCTTACATGTAATGACTAACCTCTCTTCTCCTCACTCCTTCCATGTAATGACTGACCTCTCTGTTCCTCCCTCCTTCCATGTAATGACTGGCCTATCTTCTTCTCACTCCTTCCATGTAATGACTGGCCTCTCTTCTCCTCCCTCCTTCCATGTAATGACTGGCATCTCTGTTCCTCCCTCCTTCCATGTAATGACTGGCCTATCTTCTTCTCACTCCTTACATGTAATGACTAACCTCTCTTCTCCTCACTCCTTCCATGTAATGACTGACCTCTCTGTTCCTCCCTCCTTCCATGTAATGACTGGCCTATCTTCTTCTCACTCCTTCCATGTAATGACTGGCCTCTCTTCTCCTCCCTCCTTCCATGTAATTACTGGCCTCTCTTCTCACTCCGTCCACGTAATGACTGGCCTCTCTTCTCCTCACTCCTTCCATGTAATGACTGGCCTCTCTTCTTCTCACTCCGTCCATGTAATGACTGGCCTCTTCTCCTCACTCCTTCCATGTAATGTCAGGCCTCTCCCCTCTACTTTCCCTCCTCCTACCCAACTAAACTATAAGACATTTGTCTAGATGAAAATTTTTGTTCTTCGGTAGAACATAAGCTCAAAGATAGAGTACAGAGCATTATTATTAATGGTAACTGTTCAAGCTGGACAAAGGTGGTAGGTGGTGTCCCTCAATGTTATGTTCTGGGACTACTTCTCTTCAACATACATTATAGATAAAAATAAATATATAGTCCTGATGAAAGCTCTCAGTTGCTGAAACGTCACTATTTTATTGGATCATGTAAATAAAAGCTAAGTTTTATATGTTGTAATATTAAGTCCCTGGAGAATGTTTTTTTCCTTTTTTTTTTTGTATAATATATATATATCCAAAATACCAGAGTATTGCAGTAAGCAATGATACCTTTTTTATTGGACCAACATAATATTTTAAGACAAGCTTTCTAGAGTTTTCCTCTCTTCCTCAGGTCTAAAGCAACACAAATCAATCTGATAGAGTTTAACACTTAAAACAACTGATGTTAGAGAAAGAGGAAGGAGGGGGTGAGTGGGGTGTCATAAATAGCAGAAGATGTGCCTAAAAGTGAAAGATGCAGGATGGCTGAGAATAGCCAGAAATAGTAAATAAACAGAGAAGAGTCAATAAGCTAGTTAAAAAGTTGTTTTTTAAACAAGAAAACAGCATAGCAGGGTATGCAAGTATACAGCTGCATACATGTTTGTATATAAATTAATCCAATAAAGGTGAAACGAGAATATTGAAAAAATAACTTTATAAGACACTAAGATGTGTGTTTATAAAAAGTTTTGGTAATGTGTGAGAAAGCCAGAGTCTACATTAAGTAGAAAAAGATACACAGTTATTTCAAGGAAATGGGGGTGGAGGAGTGGTGGGGCAGAATGAACATTTGGTATATACAAGTTAAGTAATTGCCATATATATAGCCTTTGATCAATCCCAAGCAGTGAGCGTATGCAGAGTAAAGGTACTAGTAGGAGATGACCAAATATCTACATGATTATAGGCAATACCCAGAAGGTATACAACCAAATACAAGGTTTTAATTGAAGTAGGGTGGAAGTATTTTCTTTGAAGATAAAACGCTTTTGCCTAGCAAGAGTAGAATGTGGAAACAGTGAGTGTCGTAAACCAAAAACATGCAAATATTAGAGGAAAAAATAAAACTGATTACATATTGAATGGATACGCTATGAACGATAACAACTTCTGTCTGCCAAAGGACTGTCAATGCAACGTTTCATCTTGACATGCATTCAGAGTGTAACTCCACCGCCTGTCAATCAGCTAGTCCGGAAGGAAATTTTTCTTATATCAATTCTGTCTGAGTTGTGCATACAAGGTGCCATGCACAAAAGCTGGTCTCTGATTTTTCCTTCTAAACAGAGAGTAAAGCCACAAATGGTACACATGTGAACCACAGCGTAAACAATAGTGAATCAGGTTATGTGATTTAGAGAGCAGTTCCATTCAAGTGATAAACAACATATGCCATAAATATGTGCTGGGCAGTGGTTCATGGGATACGAGGTTCTTCTTGGTGTACAGGTAGGAACTGCTTCGTCTTCGTATTTACCTTGCACTTGACAAAAAGGCAGAGCTGGCTTTTGTCAAACCCACAGCCATAACTATGGAGGATCCTGCTGTCTCACATGATCTTTTATAGGCCTCAGTATAGCACTCTCGCATATGCATGAGAGTACAACGCCAACAACGGGCTCTTGGCAGATAGAATACCAGGAGCTGAAGAGAACTGGCAAAGAACAAAATGGCGATGGTCGCCAGGGACAGGTTCAGGTAAGTATAACACTGCTAGTGGCGCAATCACCATTGAGGGTGTTGCAAATTATCCCAGAAGGCGACAGAGCAGCTTTAAAAAGCAACAAAAAAAAAGAAATTGCATATCATTCAATCCATTTTGTTCAATTTCATTGAGATGCTGAGGGAGAATGGCGCTGGAATCAAGCAAGTGAATAGAGGGTATTTAACCCTTTATTGGGGGGTGAGGGCAGAGGAATACAGGATTGTGCTCATAGGACTATAGTATCCCTTTAACGAAGCAGTTTTGGTGTACTAAGTCTCTGCAGTCACTGCTCAATTCACTGCCATGTAGGAGGTAAATCACTTTTGTTTCTTATTATGCAGCCCTAGTCACATCTGCCCTGGCTGTGACTGACACAGCCTACATGAAAGAGAGGTGAAAAAAAACAAAAACAAAAAAAAAATAGGTTAAATTGCTTTAGAAGGTTTTTATATCCCGCTCTGTAAATTGAACTTTAAAATCTCACAGAGCAGGACAAGAGAAATTCTAGATGAAACAGATTGTGCAATAAAGGAAGCATAAACATTAGATCTCACTTTACAGGAAGTGTTAAGGAAAGCTGTGAGGGAGGTGCAGGGAGGTGTGGCTAGGGCTACATAAACAAAGTGATTTGTGAGATGCAATATCCAAATATCTGAAGGGCACCAATGACATACATAGGGAATAACTGGGAGGGGGGTGTAGTAAGGTTAGGTATATTGTTTCTGGAGAAGTTGGACTATAAAATTTGTGGGAAAAGTGTATTTTACTAAATTAATTGGAATAAAACAGTAAGTAATAGACGGCAAGCTCTTTGGAGCAGGTCCTTCTTCACCTCTGGTTTCTGTAAATAGTTTGCAACTCATCTACTTATCAATTATCCCCATTCTACGATTGGAAAGCATTGCAGAGTTTGCTGGCGCTATATAACAACACCACCATGATTATTTATTATATTATTTATCTGCGCTGAGTCAGGCTGTATTTGTCGTGTTCTGCCGAGTCTAATGAGATTCTTTAGAACTATAACGTTGGCTTGTTGGATGTGTTTATCTAGGTCTGCGCTGGTTGTTCTCATTTCACGGATACAGTTAAGCAGCTAGCTGCAGAGCTATGTAGCCAACATACAACTCCTTATCTGCAGATTATCTCCTAGTACATGGAGAGATCACATCTCCACAAGATGCTCAGATAAACCACGGCTCATTGTGCTTGGAGTTATGGCTCATTGACTCAGTTACACACCTTGGAAATGTTTTCTTGTTTAAGAAGATGGCTGGCTTACAGAATGCCTTTGCCGATTTCCTCTGCCTACCTATTAATTCTGAAAACAAAAAATCTGTAACTTAAATCTCTTGTTACTGGATATTTCAGTTATTTGATACCTGGGGCTATACATAAATCATCTGAAAGCATAAAGTGTCTTAAAGGTTCTCCTATAAACAAGTTTATTTGAGCTTTATGTTTTGTAGCTTGTTTGTATTGTTCACAAAACTTCTATACAATTAGATAAGATTGAAGTACACAGTTTCAAGTAATACAAAATCCAACAGCCAGCTGATTAGAAACCTTGCGTGGTTACGTAGCTAGCCTGTTGGGGCATACACAGTAACTCTCACACCAACCTCTCTAACCTGAGGAACTGTGTACCTTAAAAACCCCAGCCAGTTTTGATTATTAAGGATTATGTTGGTTTCCACTCAAGAAGAAAAAAAAAAAAAAGGTTTAGCGCATTAATTACTTACAAGAAATTAAAAACGTGAAATATTTACAAGTAACATCTTAATCTGATTATCAACAGTCTATAATACTTATTGGACCCCTGGTCCAATCATGCAATCACGCACTCCACCCCCAAAAAAAAAAAAAACCACACACACTTAGCCGCACTAATTTTTACTGAGACAAAATACACACACAGATGCAGACACTGACATACATAGAGAAACACATTTCACTCACTGACAAACATGCAGATAAACAGACACTAGCACACATACAGATAAACAGACAAATACACTGACAAACACACAGACACATACATGGACCCACATGCAGATACGCATTTAGATACACATACAAACACACGTACAAACATACACAAATAGACACAGACACACATACAAACTGTACTTTTTTAGTCACCCTCCTGTGTCCAACCTTTTTAGGTGGGGTCCAGTGGCTGCCTCAGGATGATGAGTGAGCTCTGACTCACTCCTCTACTTCTAGTTACGCACGGCGCTCAGTGAATGGTGGGAGGCAGTGACCTCCTCCCAGCATTGTGACATCATCACAGGGGGCCCAGCCACCCAACATGGCTGACCGGGCCCCCGAAATACATTGCCAGCAGGTGGCCATTAGATCATAGGCCACCCAATGGGCCCCCTCATTGTGTGACCCACGGTGGTAGTTCCACACGGGCCGCATGCACCAAGGCGGCTGACAGGATGAAGGGGCAGGGGCTTTGGGCCCCCCTAGGGTGAAAGGTCCCGGGGTAGTTGCCCCGCGTTAAAGATGGCTCTGCTTATCTAAAAGAAATGGTAGTACACAAATTTTACAAACTGAGCAAGCAGACTCTGTGGTGTGATTAGGCTTTTTGGCTTTTATCTAAATGTGCACGGACTCTAAAAGTCACATCCCAAATTTATTTAGAGGGATATATATCCGTTTTCCTGGCCCTGCAGTGTCCCTCTCCCTCCCACCCCCCATCCCAAGTTGCTGATTGGGGGGGAGAGGGGGGGATGTCCCTTGGCGCTGGTCAGGTTCCGCCTACTCTTCTCCCCGCTGTCAGCGGGGGAGACCTAATGCTCATGCGCAGCAATGGCCGCGCACGCGCATTAGACCTCCCCATAGGAAAGCATTATTCAATGCTTTCCTATGGGGATTTCGCCAACGCTGAAGGTCCTCACATAGCGTGAAGACGTCCAGCGTCAGAACACATTTTTCGTGTTCTAAGAACATGGAAGTCCCTCTAGTGGCTGTTTGATAAACGGCCACTAGAAGAAGCCTTAACCCTGCAAGGTAAATATTGCAATAATTACACTTGCAGGGTTAAGGGTAGTGGAAGTTGGCAGCCAGATCTCACCAATAGGCAGAAGTGGTCTGGGAGCCTGGAGTCCCTTTAAACCACACACCGATTTCCTGAGTTAGTGCCTCCATCTTTTTATTGTTATTATAAGCTATGCCCTTCGCACTTGCAGTCAGCATACAAAACATTAACAATGTTTCGATTTCTCCAAATTGCAATGTTTGCCTTGACCTTGCCTGAACTGGATTATTAGGTCATTTACTAAATCTTTAATATAACATTTAAAAAAAAAAAAAAAGAAAAAAGGCTCACATAAATTACAGGCAATTTCAATAGTGTAAATTCCAGTCATGGAGAAAATACATTTTTTTTTAACCCCTTAAGGACTGGACTGTTTTTGCGATGTTGTACATTTGCGACCAGGCATATTTTTACACTTTTGTGGTGTTTGTGTTTGGCTGGAATTTTCCGCTCTCTAATTTACTGTTCCCATACAAATTATATATTGTTTTTTTCAGGACAAAAGGGGCTTTCTTTACATACCATTATTTATATAATCTCATGTATTTTAATTTAAAAAAAATAAAAAAATATGATGAAAAATTGAAAAAAATACATGTTTTTTGACTTTTACTTGAAAAATCTTTTACTCATCTACAAAAGTGAATTAAAAAAACTGCTAAATAGATTCAAAATTTTGTCCTGAGTTTAAAAATACCCCGTGTTTACGTGCTTTTTTGCTTTTTTTTGCATGTTATAGGGCTATAGGTACAAGTAGGATATTGCGGTTTCAAAACATACATTTTAAAAATTTATCAATAGTGACATTGTAACACTATTATCTGTCATAAATCTCTGAATAACACCCCACATGTACATATTTTTTTTAAAGTAGACAACCCAGTGTATTCAATATGGGGTATGTCCAGTCTTTTTTAGTAGCCACTTAGTCGAAAACACTGGCCAAAGTAAGTATTCATATTTGTTTGTGTGTGAAAAAAGTAAAAAAACTAAATTGAACGCTAATTTTGGCCAGTGTTTGTGACCAAGTGGTTACTAAAAAAGACTGGACATACCCCATTTGCAATACCTTGGGTTGTCCTCTTTTGCAAATGGTATGCCATCATGGGGGTAATTCTCATTCCTGGGCTACCATACTCTCTCAAAGGCAACGTAACCAACCTGGCCATTTTCAATGTAAAAATATTTGACCCATATATTTGACCTTGTAACTTTCAAAAATGCTATAAAACCTGTACATGGGGGGTACTGTTTTACTCCGGAGACTTCGCTGAACACAAATATTAGTGTTTAAAAACTGGAAAACGTATCACAACAATTATATCATCAGTAAAAGTGCTGTTTGTGTGGGAAAAATGCAAAAAAAAGTAACTTTCACTGACAATATCATCGCTGTGATATGTTTTACTGTTTTGAATCACTAATATTTGTGTTCAGCGAAGTCTCCCGAGTAAAACAGTACCCCCCATGTACAGGTTTTAGGGTGTCGTAGAACGTTACAGGGTAAAATACAGTGCTAGCAAATTCAATTCTCTGGAATTTCGGCCTGGGTCGGCAGGCAGGTCCCTCAAATTGCAATCAATAAAATTACTGAATTATGTAAAAATATTACATAAATGCGCACGTAGAATTTAAATATATATGCATATTTATATATTTGAAGTCTACGTGTATATTTATATAATTATTTATGTAATTTTGTATATGGACATATGTATATTTATTATTTTTATTTATTTTTATATACATAGATATATATACAAATTCATTCTAAGTGTATTTTGATATAAATATATATATAAATTTTAAAATACAGTTAGAATAAAATTTCATATAGATTATACTTTTTTTAAATTTTTATTATTATTTTAAAATTTTTTTATTTAATTTAAATTACTTATTTATATTTTATAATAATATATATATATACACTATATATATATATATATATATACACACACACACACACACACACACACACACACACACATATATAATATTGATATAATATATGTCTATATATCATATATGTATACACATATATAATGTTTTTTATTTTTATTAACATTAACTTTATTTTATTTTTTTGATTTTACACTAGCAGGGAGACTGCCTGTCAGCACAGGCAGCCCCCCCTGCAGGCAGACACATGGACACCTATTGTGACCATGTGATCGCTGTGTTAAGCGATCACATGGCCACAGGGGTCCTAATTCAGTGTGGGGAGACTGTCTGGGCTGCAGGTAGTCTCCCCACACCGGGAGCCACGCTGATCGCCGCCGGGGGAACAACGGCGATCAGGTAAGTAACAGAGACGGTTCAGGACCGTCATCGGTCGGCAAGCCAAAAATGCCGATGACGGTCCTGAACCGTCCTAGGTCGCGAAGGGGTTAAAGTACACCCCGTTTGAATTCTGTGGTTTTGCATATCAGGACATAACAGCAAGCATCAGCTTCTTATCAGGTTTTAAGAATAGGTAAATACAACCTATTTGATATAACAAAAATAAAGCCAAAATGGAGATGCCATGTGTGAAAAACAAATTACACCTTATGATGCAATAGATTGTAGAAGCACCTTTAGCAGCAATAACGTGAAGTAATCATTTATCAGTCTCTCACATCATTGTGGAAGTATTTTGGACCACTCTTCTTTAGAACGTTGCTTCAGTTCATTGAAGTTTGCTGGTATTTCTTTGTGCTCAGCTCTCTCCAGGTCCCGTCACAGCAGATCAATCGGGTTGAGGTCTGCACTTTGCCTTGGCCATTGGAAGGCCTTGATTTATTTCTTTTTCACCAGTTCTGTTGTAGATTTGCTTATGTGATTGGGATTGTTGTCCTGTTGCATGACCCAATTTCAACCAAGTTTTTTACCTGTCGGACAGATGGCCTTACATTTGACTCTTGAATACTTTAGTATACAGAGTTCATGGTCGACTCAATGACTGCAAGGTTCCCAGGTCCTGTGGCCGCATACAAAAAAAAAAAAAATAATAAAAATTACCCCACCAACAAGCTTGACCACTGGCGTACATACCGCGGTTGCAGGGGTCGCAGCTGCGACCTGGTCCAGCCCACCGGGGGGCCCGGCAGCCTTGGGACCGGGTATGTATGCCAGTCTCTTCTCCTGGGGGGCCCCAGGAGCTGGCCACCTCAGGGCTCCCCCGAAGCAGGTAATGCTGTGGGCGGGCGGGCACGCGAGGGAGCATTCTCCACTGAGCGCTCTCTGCCCAGCTCCCTCGCGCACACCGCACTGATGCCGGAATATGACGTCATTCTGGCATCCGGCATCAGTAAGCGGCGTGCAAGGGAGCTGGGCAGAGAGCACTCAGGGGAGAATGCTCCCTCGCAGGACCAGCCACCCAGCAGCACCACTGGACCCCAGGGAATCACCTAAGCACTCACAAAGGTAGGGAGGCTGGGGGATTAAATAATACATTTAAAAAAAATATGAGTGTGTATGTATGTGTGTGTGTGTGTCTGCTAGTGTGTGTGTGTGTGTGTTACTGAGCGTGTTAGTTTGTGTGTGTGTCTGTTACTGAGCGTGTTAGTTTGTGTGTCTGTTAGCAAGTCTGTTAGTGTGTGTCAGTGAGATTGTATGTCTGTCACTGAGTGAGAGTGTTTAAAACCCTTTCAGCACTTACCTTTCTCCAGCACCGGGCTCCCTTGGCGCTGGGGATCTCTCCACCCCAATCCACCTCTCAGCTCCGTAAGCACATGCACGGCAAGAGCCGCGCGCCTTCAAACCGCCCATAGGAAACCATTACTTAATGCTTTCCTATGGAAGTCCAGCGTCTTCTCACTGATTTTCACAGTGAGAATCGCGGAAGAGCCTCTAGCGGCTGTCAGTGAGACAGCTACTAGAGTCTGGATTAACCCTCAGTGAAACATAGTTTCTCTGAAACCGCTACGTATTCAGCTGCAGGGTTAAAACTAGAGGGACCTGGCACCCAGACCACTTCATTGAGCTGAAGTGATCTGAGGGCCTAGAGTGGTCCTTTAAGTGTATGTATCTGCAAGCAGTGGCGTACATACCGCGGTCGCAGGGGTCGCAGCCCTGCGACAAGGTGCCCGCCGCCATGTGTTGCGGCCCCGGCCCGTGCAGAGTATGCGCCGGGGCCCCATGGATCGTATGTACGCCACTTGACAGTTAATATGAGGCGTTTGTGCCGATATATGAGGTCTGGTTTTTGCAAAACGTGGCGCTTTGCATTACGGCCAAACATCTCTACTTTGGTCTCGTCTGTCCAAAAGACATAGTTCCCGAAGTCTTGTGGTTTGTTCAGATGTAACTTTGTAATCCTAAACCGTGCTGCCATGTTCTTTTTAGAGAGAAGAGGCTCTCTCCTGGCAACCCTTCCAGACAAACCATACTTGTTCAGACTTTTTTTTAAATCACACTGTCACAAACTTTAACATGCCAACTGAAGCCTGTAAAGTCTGAGATGTAACGATTATTTTATATCTCTGAGCATTGCATGGTCTGCCCTTGGGATGTATTTGCTGGGACGTCAACTCCTGGGAAGATTGGCAACAGTACTGAATGTTTTCCACTTTTCAATCATCTCTTTCTCACTGTAAAATCATGGACTTTGAATTTCATGGAAGTGGTCTTATACCCTTCCCAGTTTCATGGGCAGCAACAATTGATGATCTTTCCTCTTTAAAACTTCACCTTCTACAGAGAGGGTTATATTTGCTGATGATCAATTAATCAAGGGCATTTTATTAGCAGCTCCTGTCTGCTACTTAGCCTCTTAATTCCCAAAGAAGCCGTGAGGGTATACTTAGTTTTTCACACATGGCTTCTCCATTTTTGTTTTTTTTTGTTAAATAAATCATGACTCTGTAATATGTCATGTGTTGTTGTATTTACACAATACTAAGACCTGATAAGGAACAGATGATTGTTATTAGGTCCTGATATGATGCAAACCATAGAATTCAAGGAGAGCTTACTTTCATTTCCCATGCCTGTATATCTAGAATGTGTTACATTGATGGATACAAAGTATACCTTAATCTGCTGCCTCCTGAGCATTGCTAGCTCTCGCATATCTCGGAAAGGTTGAAGCAGGTATTGGTAGAGTTCGGTGGTGGCTTCCACCACATTGCTGTAAGCTTCATCCTCCATCTCATACAGCTCCAGGAGCTCCACCACGTTCTCACTGGTTTTGTGCTTTTCCAGAAGCTACATGAAAGGGAGAAAAAGGATGGGAAGTTTCAGGCATAAAAACTAAAATTATGACTATATAAAAATGTTTAAAAATCACGCGTGGTTTATTTCCAAAACCAGAAACCAACCAGAATTAAAGAGAAAACGGCATGGTTCCGGCCTCAATAGCAAAGCAGAGGGAAGAAGTACAATAAATCACCAATTCGGTCTACAGTTTGCCATTTTCTTCTAGTTTAGTAAATGCCGCAGTCTAGGAGGGAGATCTATCAAAGTGTAGCGGACCGTTCTGCACCTTTATTGTTACAATGGCTGTTACAATGGCGCAATTAGGCGAACTAAAGCTACTTTTTAGAACAATCTAATAAATGTGAATGGGTTGGAGAACAAATAAACACTTTCTAGAACATTTTGATAAAATTTCAATAATCTGCGTCCTGGGGAGAAAGACTAAATTGAAATTTACAGGTCTAGACTAGATCTCCATTGGGCAGCTGTAGGCCTCCCATGAATCCCTACTATGGGCCAATTTACAGGAAATGTCCCAGAGCACAAACAAAGTTGTGAGACGATGTGTTGTGAAACTGACGGATCTCAAATGCTAACCAATAATGACAATGTACAAGACATTGAGCAATACAGCAACACATTAACATTTTATTAACTGATTACCTCAGCATAAATTCAAATGAAGTCACGGCTTGCTCTGTTTAGAAGTTAGACAGAGAGACAAAGTGTGAATTTGAAATTCTATGCCAGATTTACTAAACTAAAAAGGTTTCCAATTTACTTTTTTTTCCCTGGCAATTCCCACTTTAATAACTCTTGGTGAAAGAGAGACAGTGACAGAGACATAAAATCTCCACTGAAGATAAAAGTGACAAATAAACCCCTTAACGTAAACTGCTAATCCACTTAACAGCAAATTCTGAATAGCAAGCTGTGACTACGGGGGAGTTGGGAGAATTTTTGTAGATCAATTATTTTTGCCATTCTGATCTCAATTCACTACAATTCAAAGTCTACCAAATCCTTTGGCTTGTATTTCCCCATGCAGACACTAAAGCAGGCCTGGATTGAGAAACAGGCCCGGATCCCAGTCCTCCTATAATAAGTACCAGTTTGCGTCTTTCTCTAGAGGGCTACAATACAAACACTGTGCATAGAAGATCAGCTCTGAGAGACTGTGTTACTGCAAGCCAGCAGCTGCAACGGCTGCAGACTCATCACATATTACAGACTCCTCAGCATGTACAATTACAGCCTTGAGCAGGTAACAATGATTGAGGAAACATATGGCTACGTCAAACAATAGCAGCAATTCATACACTGCTTGTGTATTCAAACGGTATGGCAGACGGCCGGACACATTCCTGCACCTGTCTTTTGTTAGACAGCAGCATTTTGGATTTTGAAGTTTTACCTGCAGATAATGTCTTACTCTAGAATAGGTTTGTCTTGTTTATTTCACAATGAACATTCCTCGGTTGATTGACAGGCGCAGGAGAACATACAATTTCAAAATAGATTTTTTTTTTCCCCCTGACATTAAGTATCTTCAACAGATGCAGACAAAAACACTAATCTGGGACAGATAAACAAGTCATCCGGTTTTGTTTGCTGTACCTGCTAGTTGTGTAAAGGTAAACTCAAATATTTGGCAACAAGGAAATAAAAGGGCATGTGATTATCCAGCAATAATCTAATTACCACTGATATAGGTAAACACTCCAGCTGTGTTAGGATACAAAGTTCAAGGATACTTTTTGCTGACTATCAGAGGGAATGAATTCACAAATACAGCGACAAGGTCAGACATCAGAGCTAAAAGTCATTGATTTGAAGTGGTCATGGTGCCTGAATTCTGAATGTGCAGACAGAGATTAACCTGTCTCCTGCCGGATGTGTAACTCCACCTCCAGTAGCATTAGCTATTCCTGAACAAGAGTTCCAGATGACCAACATTAGTTCTCTGCAAAATTGGCAACTGCCACAAACACACACAGCATGCCGGCACTTGGCAGCAGGGCCCACTGCCATGCCACCCCATACCTTCCCCTAGTCAGTTCTCCTTTCCCCTGGCAAGGGAGAGTGACATCAACAGTGGAATAACTTGGCTTTGGTAAGCGGGGGGATGCGGACATCCAGCAGGGCATAGGTTACTTTACCAAAATACAGTATAAGAACCCTGGTTAGAATCTGCCAGCAACTTAGAAGAGAAGTGTGGGCCTATGTGGACAATGTATCCCTTCATCCCAGAGTCAAGGGATACCATCAATTCACTTTGGCTGAAACCCTGCAATGTAAAACCACTCCACACCCAGCTAAGTAGACAATTGTAATCACAGTTTATATATAAAACTATGAGAAATCGTCAATTTTATAATTAAATTACGGCTGTCAAGGAGGGAGGTTTGCATCCTCTTCCATTCGTGCCCCTGATTTAACTGAAGTGACAGGCAGGCTCTACCTTCATCCCCCCCCCAGTCCTCTGACCTTCGGCGTCTTCTCAAACCAGATTCACGCAACTGCGCTCACTGAGAACCCTCCTATTGGTTATTTTCCTGTGAAGAGACTGAAAGACTCCTCCGGTGAAAAAGGGGAGGGCTTGCAAATGCTATTTTAAGATAGACCCCCAGTGAATGCAAGCATTTATTCGTTGGGGGGTATATCACATAGATTGTCAGCTCATTTGAGCAAGGCCTTTTTCACCTAGTCTGTTATATTCCATAGGGAAATTACTTGTCAAGCATCCCAATTTTAGAATTGTGAAGCGCTGTGGAATATGTTGGTGCTATATAAATAATACTACTACTAAACCATGATTTAGTAACTCACTTTATGTTCTTGTACTTGCAGAAAATCCCCAAGATTTGCAGCTTCTGCCATGAGCTTTGAGCACAGCAGTTGGCTCAGCCTATCAGAATGCTCCAATTATTAGGTTCAATGTGAGCTGAACATATCCTAGCATGGATTTAAACACGGCTTAGCAGCAGTTAATAGGACGGACTCCGATAAGAGGAGTGGAACTGCTGCCTTAGCTGATACATTGGTTTTGGGAGTGTAGCGGTCAGAGGCAGATGTGGTTCAATTTCCCTTTAAAAACACATTTACTTCCCCCAATTACAGGGGATGCTGCCACTTCTACCTTCCTAATCGTAGCAAATACAAGTATGGATACCTTGTTTCTTAAAGCTGCACACATGTACATTCTGGCATTCCTCCTATACTGATGAACAATATCATGGGTCTCATCTCTCACACAGCTAGCTGCATCTTGCTATCCTGGGTACCAATTTGTTGACAATCTGATCAAAGGCTTAAATAAATATTCCTGGAGGCTGAAAGAAAGAAAGGCCTTTGTCCAGGGCAGTTCCCATACGACATTTAATTCTCAAGCTCAAGTGGTGCCCAGAAACTGAATAAAAAGTATTTTTATATATTCATTGCTTTAGAACCTGTAGGAGCGGTTACCTGTTAAGGTGAGTCAGTTATATCAGTTTCACCTAAGCAGACAATGAAGACTAGCGACTGCAGCAGTCACAAAAAGCACGTCCTGCCGGACAATTAAGCTTCAGGGGTTTAGATAGAAGGACACATGGTTAATTATAGAGGAAGGTCGTTAAAAATGGAACAATGTGTTTCACTAAATAAACCTTCTCCTTGCTTTGGAGAATAGAGGATTTTGAAAAGAATGCCATGTGTCCTCTCGGAGCACATACTGTAATTGGAGCCCTTCCATGCTGGGATGCCTTCCTCAATGACATCATAATGACAATTAGATGGTCGCCAACTGCTTATTTTGTAAGTCAGATTATTTTGGAGAAAAAGCGCAACTAAGGTGCAATCTGGAAAAACTCGGACTGAACCGTGCATTAGAGCTTTTATAGCAAGTGGAAGGAGTTAAAACACAAAAAAAAAAAAAAAAAATACACACCTCTAAATGCCAAAAGTTGCCTATCCCTGTATTATACAAATGCTTTTTCAAACTTTTTAAATGTGCTTTTAATAAAATATAAAATAAATAAATAAATAAAAGAATGGAGAAATACATTGGGTTTACTATGGGTGATCTAGGCACATCAAGTGAGACCAAAGGAGGAAATTTTTGGAGCATTAATTATTTGAGTAGGCATTTTAGCTGAGAGAGTAGCAAGTCAGTGGCACATTAACATTGGGCCTAAAATCTCAAGCCCTGAATAAAAAAAACAAAAACAAAATAAAAACATACAGCCAGAGAGGTGTTAAAGTCAGTGTGTGCAAACAGAGATTCAATTGTGCCTTGATGGGGAGTGCCCTTTACTGTGGGACATAGTCCTCAATAGCGTGGTATGCCATGTCATATTAAGGGTCCCTTTGTTTTTCATTTTTCTCCTGATAAATGATATTCTCCCCCTGAAAACACTCAATGGTTACAACGTGCAGACATAAATTCAAAATCTGGAGCATGACAACTGCACTGTAAAAACACATTCCAAGCAGGGATTCAGTGCAACTCCTGCAAACACTCCAAAGTCCTACCAGTGTGTTTACAACGGGTTTGTGTGTCTGGGAAACATTGTTTTGAATTCCTGGTAAATATTGAGGAAGCCCTTTCTTTACCAACCCAAACAGCCTTTGCTTTGCCAGATAATTACATTTGAGTTACGCAAGAGTTGAAGAGTAAACACTATCATAAAAGGATAACTGTCACTATAAATTCAAACTAAATATACACATTTGAACTGGTCTGTTTCAGGATAGAGAGATGCTCCAAAATGCACTCCAAACATTCCACACACACAGTGTTTTTGCTTTAAAGGACCACTTCAGCTTAATGAAGTGGTCTGGGTGCCAAGTCCCTCTAGGATTAACCCTTTTTTTTTATTTTTATAAACATAGCAGTTTCAGAGAAACTGCTATGTTTATAATAGGGTTAATCCCGCCTCTAAAGCCTCTAGTGGCTGTCTCATTGACAGCCGCTAGAGGCGCTTGTGTGCTTCTCTCTGTGAAAATCACAGTGAGAAGACGCCAGCGTCCATAGGAAATCATTATGAATGCTTTCCTATGAGACAAGCTGAATGCGCGCGCAGCTCCTGCCGCGCATGCGCATTCAGCCGAAGAGGAGGAGGAGAGCTCCCCGCCCAGCGCTGGAAAAAAAAAAAAAAGTGTAAGATTTAACCATTTCCTCTCCATCCAGCCCGGCGGGAGTGGGACCCTGAGGGTGGGGGCACCCTCAAGGCACCATAATGCCAGGAAAACGAGTATGTTTTCCTGGCACTATAGTGGTCCTTTAAGGAGATTGAGATTGTAAATTTGTTTGGGCAGGAACCTCCACCTACTGCTCATCGAATAACAAACATGTTTTGTTAGAACTGTTTGTCTTGTTTACCTACTGAACAGGGCTGCAAAATATGTTGCTGCTAAAAAGGTTACAAATTTGTAAGATATTAAAAAGACAAAAAACAAAACCATTTACATAAAATGTGTACAACTAAATGTTCCATGTTTAAGAAATGAAGGAAGGTAAAAAAGAACAGAGCTGGTCTCCTGAGGAGTGGTAAATGGCAGATTAAAGGACCACTATAGTGCCAGGAAAACATACTCGTTTTCCTGGCACTATAGTGCCCTGAGAGTGTCCCCCTCCCGCCCGGCTCTGGAAGGGGGAAAGGGGTAAAAACTTACCTTTTTCCAGCGCTGGGCGGAGAGCTCTCCTCCTTCTCTCCTCCTCCATTCCTCCTCCTGGGCTGAATGCGCACGCGCGGCAAGAGCTGCGCGCGCATTCAGCCCGTCGCATAGGAAAGCATTTACAATGCTTTCCTATGGACGCTTGCGTGCTCTCACTGTGAGAAATTACAGTGAGAAGCACGCAAGAGCCTCTAGTGGCTGTCAATGAGACAGCCACTAGAGGATTAGGGGGAAGGCTTAACCCATTCAGAAACATAGCAGTTTCTCTGAAACTGCTATGTTTATAAAAAAAAAATGGGTTAACCCTAGAAGGACCTGGCACCCAGACCACTTAATTAAGCTGAAGTGGTCTGGGTGCCTAGAGTGGTCCTTTAATAGGGTGTAATGGACTGGTACATGGGCTAAATCGGTAGGTTTACAGAGTGAGGCACATTACAGAACGGATAAATTACTCCCCCGGAATGTATACACACAGATATTCCAAACAGTGACATTATATTCTGTGAACATGAAGCAAATCTAGCACTTGGTATGGATCTGTAGTGGCAAGCAAGTTTTAAGCATAGCTAGTAATGAAAGACTAAAATAGATTATATAAAATTATTTCTATTTTATCAACCGGTCTGTCTTTAAAGCCTACCCAGGAGAGCCGCTACATTAACATCTCTAGTTAAACCTATTGGGAATGTGAGTATCTACATCATCATTTCATCAGCAGTCACTTTTCCTACAAAAGCTCATATACTGGTGGCACCCATTATCACTTTAATTAAGCATTACAGTTTCCCAACAAACATTCTAACTTTGTAAATAGTGGAAATAAACTGACAAGTGAGCAGAAAGGAAGTTCAGTGCTGGTTTCCAGGATGGAGCGCGATGAATTGATTAATTGAATGATTAATGGAACCTATCCTACCATCTAAACTATAACTGGGGAGTCTATTCACTAACCGCGGACACTGCTTTAGCAAATTTTGCTACATTAATATAGGTCAGTTCTCAGAGGGTTCATTCTATTCCATATCAAACGAACATTAACTGAACCAAGTTCCACTATTTTATATAGATCTAACTGCTGCAGTAACATCCATTTGAAAACACCTCAAACTACAGAATAAAAAACAGACAGGCAGACACACACACACACACTAAACTTTAATATTAAATGTCCCAAGTCTTGAGTGTTCTACTATTGGAACTCTAGGTTTGTATTTTGTCCTGACTACAGAAATATTCTACATTTATACTTTTGCTATTTGGGGCGAAGGGGGCTTCAATGCTGGTTTCTCAAAGACGCCATTTTATAAAGTGACATTCTCTGAGTGGAACATTATCAAACTTTGATACCATTTCTAACCCCCAACAGTGAACGATTTAATACACAGGCCCCAGGCAGAGTACTGTGATAGCTCCCAGGGCCAATCAATCACTAATGCTGGATGACATCTCTAATGAGGGGGGCAACAAAAGCCCACTGATCCCAGCAGGCATCAACTGTCAGTCACTGCATAGGAACCTCGGGATTGGTTGTCACATCTTACCTACAGCGTGTTGCCGGCTTTATAGGCCTCGTGATTGAGGCATCCAGGAATAGCAAGTCCATGCCACAGTTATGCCATGTATGGTTTTTAATGGCGGTCCCAGGCTGGATAAGGTCGATGAGCATAGTGATAGCAATTACTTGTCTTAGAGGACCTCAACATAGCTATTTCTAATAATCAAGAAACAGCCCCATCTTCAGAACTGCAGTGAGTTTGGCTTTCCAACTATCATTTAGATGGGATTGTCACAAACTGAGCAAACAGCAGAGCCATATTCTGAACAAAGTTCGAGAGGGCTTAGTCTGTAGAAACATTAGGTCAGGTGAGTTTTACCCAGCATTCTCTGTACCTTGCCCCAGAATGATACAGGGGAGAGGACGCTGGGTGACATTGGCAGGCAGTGGCATTTTTTTGGCTATTTGGTAAATATCAATTCAAAACTTTACAATATAATAAGAAATCAAGATTGTAACAAGATTCCATGATTTATTCATAATGAGGAAAGGACTGCATAGCTCAGGAAGGTAAAAAAGGCTTCACTAGTTTTCTGGGTTATTCGCTTAGCTGGGAAATACAGAGAACTCCCAAGGAACTGCAGGTTTTAGGGCAAAATGGCTGAATTGGAAGAACTCCGTTTGGATTTATTCACTATTCAAATTTTTGCAACCCAGCCACAGATATAACCTATAATCAATCATTGGTGATTAGATTTCTTACCTGATCTGTGTTTAATTTATATAGGTGTATTTTTTAATATTATTAACATTATATTGTACCCTACTGTAACTATGCAGTGTTTGTGGGCCCAGGACATAATTACACGAAACATCTCACTTTATACATCCTTGTACATAAATACACACACACAATCTTCAGAGCGCAGGCCTGGGAGAGCGGCAAGGGCGCCGCCAATTGGTCTAGAGTGTCAGCTGACGGCTCTCCCCAGCCAGTGCAACGGATCTTCTGGCACCACAACAAATTATTTTCAAGTTGTTATGGTGCCCAAACTGTTCCTCTAAGAAGTTTCCTTCAACAAGCAGAGAACTGTTAAAAATTGACAATGGATATCAAGGGACTAAAATGGCTGAACTGGAATAAAACGTCAATCGGATCATTGGGTCCTAAATTTTGCATTTAAAGGAACACTATAAGCAGATAACTACAGTCAGCTGAAAAATCCAGATGTTACTGCGTAGAGCATGGGTCCTCAAACTCCAGCCCCCCAGATGTTGCTGAACTACAACTCCCATGATTCTTTGAATTACATAGATAGCCAGAGAATCATGGGAGTTGTAGTTCAGCAACATCTGGGGGGCTGGAGTTTGAGGACCCCTGGCTTAGAGCAAAGCAGGACCACAATCAGCCGATTCTCTCATGTTACGAGCACAGTCCTACATGGGCTTACTTTGCTGGCTCATTGCATCAGCTCACTTTGCTGGCGTCACCTGCTGGAGTGGTACCCGCTAGTACCCAAGTGTCAGTGCCATATCAGTTTGACACTAGTAAGGCTGGAGGGAAATGACAAAACTTGACAACAGTAGCTCTGTTTTTGGTCAAGTATTGTCAGCCATAGGGAATATACACAAGACAAAGTAACCCATACTTTGTCTTAGATCTATTGACTGCATTACAATGTCAGCGAAATTACAACACAGTCAATTAATTTTATAAAGAACAGTGTCAACTGTCAAGAACTGAGAGCATTTCGCCTTTTAGGACACAGAAAATGAATTGGGTTTTAACTATTTTGACCTAAAACATTACTTTGTACTCCTAACACTTTAGTGAATACATCTAACATGTGAATTGTGAATTTTAAAAGATGTATACTAAAAATATTTACACGGAACAAATTCACTGAGCCTCATACGTTATCAGTTCTGCTATTTTAGTGTCAAATTTGAAATAAATTTAAAGCTGCTAAAATTCACACATTAGAGAATAAATCAACTAAATGTTATTTACGCAGGAGACGAGGACAATATGTCCCGTGCTGCGTCACCTGTGCCACAGGATGCCCACCAGTAGCTCACCTCTTGTAACCTCCGCCGGGCCCTGTGCAGGACCTCCTCGTAGCCTTTATGCCGAAGCTCGCTCAGGCTTTCATAGTACTCGTCAGGGTCGTCACTCTCCGTGAACAGGACCTGGGAGAGGATCTTCCAGCCGCAGGTGTCTAGGGCATGGCCCAGGTAGAGCTGCAGTTGGCCACAGAGCATCTCCACCTCTTCTTCACTCATCTCAGGGGCCCCGAACAGCACGGACCACATGCCAGACGGCTCCTCGGGGAAGGTGGGGAGATGGGGCCCAAGCTCCGCGCTCACCGAGCTCAGCTGCTGGTGCACTGCGCGCAGGTCCTGGAACGAGAAGAGGCCGGCCCAGCTGCATTCCTCCTCGGCTGACTCCTCCCGCGAGGGGCTACCGCCACCAGCCTGGTCCCTGGGGGCCTGGTGGGGGCCAGCCTTGTCCCTGGGGGCCTGGTGGGGGCCAGCCTTGTCCCTGGGGGCCTGGTGGGGGCCAGCCTTGTCCCTGGGGGCCTGGTGGGGGCCAGCCTTGTCCCTGGGGGCCTGGAGGGGGCCAGCCTTGTCCCTGGGGGCCTGGAGGGGGCCAGCCTTGTCCCTGGGGGCCTGGAGGGGCCCCCCATCTTTGCTGGGACTCCTGGACTGCCTGGGTTCTTTGCTGGGGCTCTGAGTGGTCTCCTGGCTGTGGCCCCTGGCCGGGCTCCGCGGGGCCCCTTGCTCTGCGCTCCGCTGGCGCTGTGCGGTGCGGTTGTGGCAGGTGATGGCGAACTTGCCCTCCACCTCGTTCCAGGCCACGATGAAGACGAATTTCCGCCGCTCCTTCTCCTCGAACACGTTAGGCCGCACGGCCACCCAGTCCGCCTCCAGCGAGTCCTCCAGAGAGTCCGCCATGCTGCGAGTCCGGCCGGCTGGCTGGCGGAGGGATCCCGGGTCACCGCACTCACTGGGGTCTGGCTGGCGGAGGGATCCCGTGTCAGTGCTCGGGCTCTCGGACGGATCTCTAACTGTCTCGCGCTGTCTCTCCCGATGGCCCCTATTGTTGTTATGGGGAATGTCACGTGACGCGCTTTGTTGATAGTCACCGGCCGCTTGGCCCCGCCCCCTCCTCTCCCGTCACCGGCCGCTTGGCCCCGCCCCCTCCTCCGTCACGGCAGCTCGGCGCCCCCTCCCCCTCTCACGGGCTGCGCTACCCCTCCTGCAGGCGCCACGCACCGGCCGGCTCGACGATGACGGTGAAAGGCAGCGCGAGGCCGGTACCGGCGGGGGGTGGGCGGGGCTTAGTGACGTCACCGCCCGCGACAGAAACGTAAACATGCGCACGTGTCATGAGCTGCGCGCGCCCGCGGCGGGGACAACACGGCGGGAGCGCGCACCATCTGCCCCCCCCCCCTTCCTCCCGCGTGAGCGCGCATTCCGTGACAGACTAAATAATAATAACAATAATAATAATAATAACAACAATAATTACTAATAATAACAATAAATAATAACAATAATCAATAAATATTAACCCCTTAAGGACGGAGCCAAATGTACACGTTGTGAACAAAACAAAATGTAAACAAAACCTGGCATTTGCGCTACATGTCTGTCCAACCGTAATACACCTCTTTCATAGTAAATGCACCCACCCTTATTATATATCATTTTATTCAGGGGAAACAGGGCTTTCATTTAATATCAAATATTTAGCTATGAAACATAATTTAATATGAAAAAAATGGGAGAAAATACGATTTTATTGGATTTTTTTAGTTCTACATGACATTTAAACGGTCAGTGTCATAATACTGTTTGCTTTTACTGCAATAAAATACACATATTTGTATTCAGCAAAGTCTCACGTGTAAAACAGTACCCCCTATGTACAGGTTTTATGGCGTTTTGGGAAGTTACAGGGTCAAATATAGCACGTTACATTTGAAATTGAAATTCGCCAGATTGGTTACGTTGCCTTTGAGACTGTATAGTAGCCCAGGAATGAAATTTACACCCATAATGGCATACCATTTGCAATAGTAGACAACCCAAGGTATTGCAAATGGGGTATGTCCAGTCTTTTTTAGTAGCCATTTGGTCACAAACACTGGCCAAAGTTAGCGTTAGTATTTGTTTGTGTGTGAAAAATGCAAAAACGCCAATTTTGGCCAGTGTTTGTGACTAAGTGGCTACTAAAAAAGACTGGACATACCCTGTTTGCAATACCTTGGGTTGTCTACTATTGCAAATGGTATGCCATCATAGGGGTAATTTTCATTCTTGGGCTACCATAGGGTCTCAAAGGCAACGTAACCAATCTGGCGAATTTTAATGTGAAAAAAATGAAACGCAAGCCTTATATTTGACGCTGTAACTTTTGAAAACACCATAAAACCTGTACATGAGGGGTACTGTTGTACTCGGGAGACTTCACTGAACACAAATATTTGTGTTTCAAAACAGTAAAAAGTATCATAGCAATAATATTGTCCGTTTAATGCTGTTTGTGCGTGAAAAATGCAAAAAACGTCACTTTTACTGGCGATATCATCGTTGTAATACATTTTACTGTTTTGAAACACTAATATTTGTGTTCAGCGAAGTCTCCCGAGTAGAACAGTACCCCCCATGTACAGGTTTTATGGTGTCTCGGAAAGTTATAGGGTTAAATATAGTGCTAGCAAATTAAATTCCCTTTACTTACGGCATGGGTTGTCATGCAGGTCCTGCTAATTGTAATTAATTAAGATACCTAATTATGTAAAAATATTACATAAATATATATGTAGAATCAATATATGTATATATATACGTATGTGTATATATATGTATATATCTATATAATTTTTTTAAAATATTTTTATTTATATATAGGTATATATATAGTGATATATACGTATATATTTATGTGTATAAATATATATATTATTTCGTTCTATGTGTATTTTGATATATATATATATATATTAATTTCACAATACAGTTAGAACGAAATAACACACATCTATATATTTTTTAATTATTTATTTTTAATTATTTTTGTAATTTTATTTTTTAACGTATTTACATTTTAATTTTATTTATAATATATATAAATATATATATAACAATAATTATATATATATTTAATCAGTATCAGTGTACGTGTAATTTGATATTAATATATATATATAATTATATATATATTAATAGTAAAATACACCTAGACGGTGTACATGTGTGTATGTATATGTGTATATATATACTTTGATCATATATATATAATATATATATATGATCTAAGTATATATTATTTATTTTTTTACACTATTTATTTATTTCATTTTTATTTTCAGCCAGCAGGGGGACCACCTGTCATTACAGGCAGCCCCCCTGCTGGCAATACAGAAGCCAGCTATCCCCGGCCATGTGATTGTGGGGTCCTCGCTAGGACCCCACTCTCACACGGCCGGGGGGCTTCCTGGAGGACGGTCGTGCCGCTGTGGGCTCCCTGGGAGTCCTCCCCACCGCGATCGCCGGCGTGGGACCGCCGGCGACCGGGTAAGTACAGAAAGACCGGAGGGCGTACTATTACGCCCGGCGGCGTTTAGAGCCGCCTATTAGAGGACGTAATAGTACGCCCTCCGGTCTTAAGGGGTTAATAGCTTGCGAGACCCTGCAAGAGCCTCCTGTATGTGATTAAAGTTCAATTTAGAAATTGCGATACAATTATTTAAGGTAAATTACATCTGTTTGAAAGTGAAACCAGTTTTTTTTTCATGCAGGCTCTGTCAATCATAGCCAGGGGAGGTGTGGCTAGGGCTGCATAAACAGAAACAAAGTGATTTAACTCCTAAATGACAGTGAATTGAGCAGTGAAATTGCAGGGGAATGATCTATACACTAAAACTGCTTTATTTAGCTAAAGTAATTTAGGTGACTATAGTGTTCCTTTAAGTAATACATCACTAATCTCAATTATCTATATCAAAACATACGTAGAGCTGTATGGGGATTTGGTGAGTTCGGAACTGTAATGTAAAATGTAGTATACCTGCATTTTATTTATTCTTTTAACTGGGGATATCAAATTGCTCTGCAAGGGCATTTCCTGTACTACTGAACAGCAACCAGAGTATTCTTAATCTGAAGTATTCTTTAATCTGAAAATAAGAGCTTTATCTTGCTTTATGAGGTACAGTATGTCTGGTGACTTGGATGAAGTTCAGAACTATATATACATTAGCATGGCATTGTGTGCAGTGGGAGAGGGAAGCAGCGCTTTTGAGATGCTTACGGATCAAAATTAGGATAAGTGAACGAGAGGACAGGATACGAACTATTGTGTAGTACTTGGATATTATTGGTAAACTAAATAAATTAAATGCACTTACATTTTTTAGGAGCTGATATTTACCTGGCCGGTACTATCCCTGCCTGTGAATTTGCTGGATATTTTGTTGCTGCACAAGAGCTCCAGATGGTATAAAAACAAGAGCAGAAAATAGTAACAATATAGTTTAGTATATTTGATACAATGAATAGGAGTAACTTTAAGTATTTAGATGTGCACTCACAATTTTTTGGGTTGATAGTGGCTCTAAGTAGCAGATATGTATAGGAGCAGCCCCTGGTTTACGATATTCAGGAGTTTTGACTTGTTAGTGCGTAGAGGTGTAGCAGCAAGGTATTACCAGAATTTCACTATATAAAATAGAAATAAAAAATGTGTTCTCTGTATTAAAATCAGTAGAAATAATAAAAGGTAATATATATTCTCTTCCCCTGGCTACATCCATATCACCCTTATGAAAAAATCCCTCACATGCAGGTATGGTGCTGGTTCTGATGTTGAAGTAGATGTCCCTCTGAGAATGCATCGCCAGGTCCTCAAAATATTGTGCAGACAAGACCCATAAGGTTGAAACTACTCTCTCCTTGGCTGGTTTCTGATAGCTTTAGATCACAATTTATGCTATGTTTAAAAAAAAAAAAGCCTGTGTTTCAAACAGTGTCCATTGCTAAAATACAGGATGACGTCTGCTACACAATGCTTGTCAGTGCTCATTTGCATGTCAAGCTGGGAATTCTGGGATAGCTGTGAAAACATGATTTCTTGAGTTTCTTTGCCCAAGGGGGACTATCCAAAGTCCATCTTGAGATATGCAGGCGATGCACAACACATTTTTTATTTGCACTTTGAGGAAATTTGTTGTTTGGTCTCACTACAATCTTTTTGACACACATGCCTTTTTAAAATCTTACACAAGCAAGAGAACATAAACACAAATTTTGCACAGTAAAATAATTAGTACACAAGCACTCCATAGCACTGTGCTGCAAATTGCAAACAGACTTAGTACATCTTATTACGTGCCAATAGGAGGCTTTTGAAATTATACTTGGCAACGGACCTAAACTGTAGTGTAAGGAAATGTAATACAAATATTAGATTTGTGGTCGAAGAAACGCTTGTAAATGATGGTAAAATATTGATACATCATTTATACAAACACAAATTCACTGAGCTTTGAATGTTTAAGGGCTAAATTGGTTTAATTGCTACATATAAAATCGCTACACTTCTGATCTTAGCAAGTAAAAAAAATAATCCTTATTACATTTCTGCTGAGTGTGTGTGATGTGGTGTACATGGTGTGTGCGTTTGATTGTGGTTTAAGACCGTGTATGACTCCCTTTATTGTGCAAAGCATACATGAACATAGTTGCATATCTTAGTTTTACTAGAGCCATATTATCCTGGTTTGGGTTGCTCCATCAATCTTCCAAGAACGTCAAAAATATTTGTTCAAAATGGTTCTCTATTTATACAAGTTATGTGCTGATTTAATCAAATACATTTTCCCTACACTTTAGGGGGAAACACATAAAGTGAAAAGTACTCTTTAAGCAACATTACCATTATAGCATGCAGTAATGGTTATGGTGTCAATAGTCATTTGCCTTTGTTCCATGCAGAGCCCTGCATTGGTTATATTGTTTACTTTACCTCTAAAGGGGTAACAAATAAATATCTTTTAAATACATAGATAACTGAAAATAATATTTAAAACCTGGGAATTG